GGACTTTCAGTAAGTGCTACATATGAAGGCAGGAGACGTGTGTCCATTCGAGTGAATGACCTTAGTCATAAGGACTGTGCCAGTGCAAGGCGACCTTAAAACTTGTTGCTCTTCGACACCGAGAGAACCCAAGGACATAGATGTCTATGGGAACTTTACACGACGAGGTGAACATGGGCATTTTATTCACCTCAACGGCATGATGCGTCACCGTTTTTGTGAGCCCGTATGTTCTAGCCAGTCAATTGTGTGCTAAGCAGTTTCTTTGTCTAAACATGCACTCTGCAACAGTGAAATCCAATAATCTCTTAGGGCTAAGGAATAAATTTATGCAGAACCGGCAAGTGTCTGGCCACGCCCTTGGTCCCAGTTCTGTTTTGGGTGTACACCACGAATTCAAAACGCACTTGACTCTGGATCACGTGGTTCAGAATGCTAAATGTTGAACACTATTGGTAAATGGGGATTTCTGGCTGGTCGCAGAGTTGACGCTATCTGTTCGTGTATATTCGAGAATACGCCACGCACTTCCTAATATTTTTTCCACAAAGCCAAGACACAACGGCTTTAAAAACTGCGTTTAGAGCGGGGACCACGGGAGAGTGGTTTCCTTCCGGCTGCATGTTAGTTTTGGTTTTCAGTGTGCATGACAACTACTTTTGACACACCATCACTGCTACACTCCAATTAGTAAAGAATATTTGTATTAATAATAATAATAATACATTGGGGGTTTCTAATCAACTGGCATCAGGGCATTTGCGACTGCCGAGTCCTTATTTGTACAACATCCTTCAAAACGAACTCGACCCAGGCACCTTTCCCTCACTAAAACACATTACGTGAGACATTTATCACAAGTCACTAATTCCATTCAGGAAATACTACCCGTAAACAACATCCACACAACGCCAACAGCCAGTTCCGTTTGAACCACAAAAATTGAAATCGCAACTGGACCATAGAGATTAGGGGTTGCATTGCTGTAGAAAGATCTTCAAGTTTTATTTATCGATAAAATTTAACGCTTCTGAAAAGATGCGACCGTCAACGCATTCGTGATTGCTTATTTGTTTGATATTTGTCATATTTGAAGGACCTACTGCTGTGTGTGAAAAGAAATGCTTTATCGCTCGAAATTTGTTCTTTGCTGACACCAAAGTTAATTCAATGTCATATTCTTTAAAATGCCTCAGTGATGTCAGCTTGCAAAAAAAACCATACATGCACTCAAATTACTGTTGTTAATATTAGCCGAGAAGGCTTTTCGCAGTGCCTATTCAAACAGTGTCGGACTAGAGGGATGGCTTGAGCCGATTCCCTGTGCTTCGTCACCACGAACCTCACCTTCCATCACAGTATATCTCGTAGACTGTGTCAACTTAATTCATGCATCTGACACGAAGCATTTTTACCAACTGTTAGGAGGCGTAGTTTAAGGTTAAAGGATTAATAAACCGCGTACTATATAAAATGAGTAGGCGTCGTGTCGTCTGTTGGCGACCTTTGGTAAACTTTGTGGGATCGCCTTAAATCAACGTATAAGACAGCACCACGCAAACAGTGACCACAGTAAGTTAATGCCCACGCATTCAACTCACACGTCAAGCTGGTTTATAAACTAAATTAATTTCAGCATTCTACGTCGTTCGGATCCGTGACAAACACGCACTCATGGGTACGTTAACATACTCATTTGATTTCTTGGTCAAGTTATTCGCAGATATAAGGCAGAATTCACACTGCACATTTCAGGTTGTGTGCCAAATCAACTCGGTGGGAACAATTCTAAGACACTAAAGATACAGCTTGTTTTGTTCGTCTAAACTAGTTAATCCATTTTCCTAAATGTCTTGCAGAGAGTGAATGTTGATTAATCTGTAGGAGTTCAAGAATTCGACGTCTTCTACACTAATGACCTCATTTGATTGTCAATTTAGACATCACTTTCGGCAATTCTAATCCTAAACCCACCCCATCCCACCCCACCCAGTTCCTGTAGCTACTTTGGGAGCTCATTCCGTTGACTGTCGCTGATTTCGTCTCTGACCTCTTAAAATGACTGATCCGGAAGCAGACGAATCTGGTTGATTAGTAGACGAATCGCCAATTACTAAATGAATTGTCAATGTGGTTGCACCTCATTTCTGACTTTATGTTTGTGGAAGAACTAAAGTTGCAGCTATCCGGATATGGCGTCCGTTTTCATACCTTAATCATAAAACATTCCTTAATTTTACATATAGACAGGAAGCAGTTATTGCATAGGCGTCTGGAGTAACATGCCTGCCCCGAGGTATGTGAATGAAGCGTGCACCATGAAGTCAACTAGACGTAGACAAAAGTGTGCCTCACAATGATAGCGGAGTCGGGTGTGTGAACTTCACACAAAAGGCGCTAGCATCTTAAGCTTGCCAATGCATACAAGACCCTCAGCTTCGATTACATCTGAGAATGTGGCTTTGTGGCATATTATTTGAATGCATGTAGCCATTCGATTAGCCATATTTTCTCGAAGACTCCTGTAAAGCACCTGGTAGTTTATCAACACATCCACTAAATTCTACGCCTTATGTCAACAAAACAACTATCAATTTCACTAAATTTAGGGGACTTGGCAGCAATGCTTTCTTGATGGTCTTGTAGATAATTTGGCCCAGTATAGGCCCAAGGAAGTCTACTCCAGTGCCTACATAATGCCATGCTAGTGTGGCAATTAGGGATAGCAACAACCTATTAAAAGTCATGATGGTCACGTGGCTCATGGAAAGGTGTATGTTACCCTAAATTGCAAGTTCCCCTTATTTGGTCATTACAAACGCTGGTACAAGATTAGAAATCAAATGAAATTCAACAACACATTTACTAACTCAGTAAATCAATTATGCATTGGATAACCGAGAGAGTAATCATCAACGTCAAAAGAACAATCATGGAGAAGGTATTCGGTTGGATTGAAGTGGCCATTTTAAAATGAACAGGAACTGCATTTAAATGTCCTGAGTACATAACCCAGCTAACAGTCTTTAAATCAACTCGTTCCGATTTATATTGACGCAGGGTTCATTTAGGCAGTTTCAGTCTATACTATGATTATTGGCCTGTGTTACCATCTACTGAGAAAATAGGGTAGGACGTTTGCATTAAATCAATATTTTCACGCTGATATTCATAATTATTGCCAACCTAAACCCTTTTCCATCCGCACACCTCTCACAAACTACGCGGCTTAATGCGCAAGATTCCGCTCCTCCAGTAATCCAATGAGAGGTAAAGTTTGGTCGGTGGATTTTTTAGGAGACTTGCCACCCTAGCATTTTAGCAGAGAAAATTGACGCAGCCTTAGCGACTTCCTGTGTGGAGCCTCGCGCAAGCAGGCGAACGCGTGGGCGTTGGCAAGCCATAACATTTCGCCTAGCAACGGTGAACAGAAAAACGAAAACATCCTACTTGATGCCAAATGAACTTATCTACGAAATTTATCATAAAGGCCTCGGGGAAGGTTGATGTTCGATGGGAGAGTCCTCTGCAATTCTCTTCATTTTGACCAATCAGCTGCGGCGAAAGCATGAGAGTTTACGTGGCATCCTTTTAAAGAATGCACTTAACATGTGATTGAGCATACCGTTTGATCTATAATCCAGACACACTGCCAAGCTTTTCGCAGACTAATTTTTCGCCAGATTGCATGATTTTGACGCTGCTAACACAAACACATTGTGACTGCTTGTATCTCAACAGCCTCCATTGCCAAGCAAACTTTTTGCGCTTCAAGACAAATTCACACAGTCCACAGTCTTGTCCAATCTTAACGGTTATTCCACTTTAAAAACCTAAGTTTTGCGAGTTTTAAAAAAATCAAATCCGCTAATGTCATTACAATGAGCTTGTGGTTGCAGAAGAAAGGAAATAACAACTCCGAAAATGCAAAGCCTTATTCGGAGATCGATACTACGTATTCGTCTTCGACGACATTCCCTTTCTCGTCCTCCTCGTCGTCGGATTCATCGTCTATACCTGGAGCGCCCTCTGTTCGTCTCCCAACTGCCACCGAGTGGGTAAACGCCGCGGCGAATAAGTGGCCCAAGCCAATCGAACCAGACCGACATCGGTCCCTACAAAGCACAGAAAATGGCAGCATTTCAAGTGGACGCCTTTCGGACCCTCGAAGTGCTGTGTGTGTGTGGCACACCTACATATGTAGGTCCGTCGGCTTGTCTCGTTAACGGCCTTGCCAAAGACCATTTAAAAAATCTCTGATTTAAGGGAAAAAGGCACGTCTCATGGTTAAATGGAAATGCCCAAGCTGTAAAAAGGCCATTAAACGTAGTAACTAAAAACGTCGGGGATGCTGCTTCTTTGAATTCCACCGAAGGTAATCAAGCATTATCTCAGTAGCCCGAGATCAATCTCGTCGCGATGTTCTTAAACACTATTCCATTCTTTTTTAATGTAGCTTCTTAGTAGAATCACTCATTTTTCCGCATATGTGCGTAAAGAGAGATTACGTCTATTTATTCCTATTTTCTGTACTTTTTCTAACAAAGACTTAACGCGTGGTTTGGCGTTAATCACTTTATCAGACTGCAACGGTGCTTTAAATCACTCATGAGTTGCGTAAATTGACGCTATCACCTAATTAGCAAGGCATCGGAATAAAACAACATGGTTAAAACCCTTGTTATGTTAAATATATATTTTTGGAAAACTGTGTTTGTTGATCTTTAAATGCTCCGTGTCTACAAATGAGGCATTCTACTGATTGAATAGAAAGCCATTTAACGCCTTTATGGAAAAATTTGATTGTCAAAACGGAGCTTGAGATTGGGCCGAGAGGGGTAACAGTTTGGTAAAAAAGAGTAGAGAAATAATGGACTTACATGAACCATTCAATCGCAAACAGCAACGACACCTCGTCTGTCCGAACGCCCAGTGACGATAAGATGGTTATGATGATGACAATGCTGGAGCTTGGTACATTGGGGATGGCCAACGTTGCAAAACCAGTTAGCAGCCTTTAGAACAATTGAACGTTAAGCACATTGTCAGTGACATCATGAATAGCAATTTTACTCCAACTAGCAGTATAGCTAATTACGACGTAATTGGACGTTTCAGCTCTTAAAATGACTTGAATATCATGGAATCTACGTCATGTTTGTATTAATTAGGAATAGATAATAGTACAACTATGGAATTTGTTGTGTTGGAGTAGATTTGACTAAATCAGTTTGTCAAAGTCAGCGAATTCCTGCCGCCATGAAAACGTCACTTTACATCGCATGAGGTATTTCATCATTCTCGTTGACGTAATGCCATTTGTCACCGGCTCGTCAAATTTTTCCTTGCTGTCTCACAACGGGTTGTTCCCTGCCCTCTAAACACAAGGCAAACCAACCTATGGCATGCCAGTACACTGTAGGCTGGTGACGCTTGCTGTTGCCAGGTCATTTGCTAAGATGGCGGATTTGCCAGGGTTCGTATTCATCGTCCTCTCATTAAACTAGGTGCGCATCTTAAAAGACGCTCCACAAAAGAAATTAGGTCACATTCCGCCACGAATTCTCCCTATTCAGCGTTGTTATAAGTTGATTTTAAACGTTTTTTATTTCTTTTATTTCTCTGGATCTGGAATGATTTTCATAGAATGACTCGGTGTTGGGAATCCGCCATCACCAAGAATGCGTTTGTTTGTAAGAATTTGATGGCTACCCGTTTTTAGATATCATTCATGATTTTGACGCCAGTATGAAAAAATTCACCTAATGAAACTGAACGAAATGACCCGTGAATAAGACCTCTACTGAGGACACTGCGTTTGCAGGCTACAACTGGGTGATTGTAACTTTCGTGTTTGATTTGATACCAATTCAAATACAACCTCACTTAGTGAAAAACGGTGCTTCCTGATCGGTTATACATTCTTCAACATTTTTCCATAACTACTTCCAACGCTTTACATGTATTTAGAATTGTTTTGTTCAATGACCTGCGTGATATCCAAACTAGATAGGTCATTAAGCAGATTTTGGCTTCTTTCGTATAATTAAAGCTTCAACCCATCTTATTATACTGCTGTTAAATGGAAAGTTGAAAGGTCGAGGTCATAGGAGGGAACTTCTCACTATAACTCCGTAGATTCTTGCGTAATCTGTCGTGCGATTTGAGGTCTAGTATTGTCGTTATAAAGACCGATGTCCGTGGGCCAATTTGCACATTTGTCTTATATTTTAACATTGCGTTTGGTGAGTTTTTGTTTGGTCACATAATCAAATCTTGTACAACATTACTTGAAAAAAAAACACCAGAAGAGTTTGCAATCTGTGGCAAATGACTGCAAATACAGCAAACTCATGACACGTGATTGGATGGATGAGGAGACGCAACAACAATTGAGACATATATTTCAACGCAGCGACTACTCACGCTATCACCACGTAGGTTCCCACCGTCAAATCGAATTTCGTGAGTTGAGCGATGAAGACGCAGGAGACTGCCTGGAAGGCACCCGACGCGTCCCCTTTCAACGCTGCCGAGAAGGGTATCACAAATCGACTGACCTTCTTCTTAAGTCCATAGCGGTCGCACGTTTCAATCATTTCAGGAATTGCGATGACCCTACACGCCGGGAAAAAAACATTACTTCACACAAAAATTATCCGAGTCTCAGACTTAATTTGCTCTAATTTCCATTTAATGGGTTTAAAACAAATGCTAGATGGGAGAGATTAGTCTTACACATCCTCGCTCATCCCCGGTACCGGTGTCGTATCTGCTTGCCGTTTGGATGTGGCATTTCTTAGAAATGCGAAAGTGGATTCGTAATTATTCGTGTTAATCAGTATCGCGTGACTTTCAACTTCTTCCCACAGTATTCAGCAGTCCCAGACATCGATCAGCATTACCCATTTTTCCTCTTTTTTTCAACCTCAACCGATCACGATAACCTCTGAGCTATTATTATTGGATTCGAGCGTTCTCCGGCGAAGATAAGTCATTTTGAGTCACTCACGGTGCACCTTTTGGTTTTCTACTAATTAACATCTCGGTCATCTAACTTTTATGTTTGCCTAGACGGACCTTGGCTGTTTGACCCTCCATTAATTCCAAGTGTTTTTTTTCTATTTCAAGAATCCTAAGCGTTTCTATTGGCTGTCGATGATGAAAGCTCCCTGATTTTCACGTCCGCATACAATACAGGGTGTGGACAAATACGATTCAACACAACCAGACTTATAGGTTCAGTGATCAGTGAAGCTACGTCTTCCTAGATTTGAATGTTTGGTGTTGTATCGGGCTCCAGCAGTATTTGTTATTTACTTGCCCCAGTGTGGGTGCAAATGTAACACGACGAGTTTCAATATTTACCACATAGGAGAAAGCAACTCTAAGATATGATTTCAGGAGTGAAATAATTATGATATGATAGCTAGTTCAAGGAATATTCCGTTCTTCCAATACTGAGTGCTTAAAAAAGTGATTTCACGAAGTAAATAGAAGAACGGGGCAAAACGAAAACAATAAACATTTTAACTTCAAGCCGGTAGGGATAAACATAATTTGCAGTTTCGCCAGTGTAAACAGCAAGAGTATTTCAGTTGAACTGTGCTTTTCCTATTTCTTTCGCAGGCACTTCACAAACTTTGAAATGGTTATGAACGCACCACTAGTTAAGTAACTGTGAAACTCACGGTGCTGTGGTGATGAAAGAAAGGAAGAACACCCGGAAGCCGACCCACAGTAGTTTGAAGGGATTTCGGAAGGAGGCAATGGTGTAGACGGCCATTTGGATGATCATGTGGACTGCCAGTGCTACAAGCACCGTGCCCATAAAGACGCCAAGGCTCTGGAAGGTTCCCGATACGTCCTTCAATCCCACAACCGCACCAGCCACCATGAAGCAAACACCCACCGGAGTTGCCCTGTAAAAATTAGGGTTTATCCTCTTATGGATAGGTTTGCAGAATCGAAAATAATTGAGCTTAAATGACGATTCAGTGGACTAATCGTCATTTAGTATACGAATAACCATGTCTTCGTGACATAATTTGAACGAAATGCAAAATACTTTGTTGTGAGTTAAATTAATAGTGAAGAAATCAGCTCGAGTTTGTCACAACGTCATTGTGAAATATGATTGGAATTTCAGAGCGATAATAAATTCTTTTTTGAGCTTAGTGGAAAAATTAAAGAGGCTGCAGTTTTGAGAAACAGGTTTTAGTGGTTGCAAATATCTAGTTTTTGTAACCTGTTGACTAATTGTGTTGTAGGATTGCACACCCTTAAACTGTTTCCAAAAATAAGCAATCCCAGAAATATAAATGTTCAATTTTTGCCCCGTGAAGCCACTTAGGTGTCTAGAGAATGCGAGCATCAGTTAACTGTTAAAGGGCTAGGAAAACTAAATGCTTACTTTAAAAACCATCGCATTAGAATCAGGACGACGTGGCTAACAGCTTCGAAGAAGTCGACAAATGCCTTTCCCGCCTCGCCTGTAGCACCAGCGGCTATGCCAAAGCTAATTGTTGTAAATATCAGTCCTGTTAGAAGGCAGAAAACCGTAAAAGTATGAAAGTTGCAATATTATCACTTTTATGAGTGCTCTACACACTATTCTAATCATTCCTGGCTGTAAAAATCAATATTTTGCATAATATTTGGAGAAGTGCATCTTGCTGTAAGTCTTTTGACTGTGCTAAGGTCAACCTCATCGCAAAATTGTATGCTTAGGCAAAAGATGTGTATTTGGGGACCTATAAATCATATTTCTTTGTCTGAGCCTATAAGATTTGCTTACTGCTAATACCTGCACACATAAGGAGATGTCAATCTGTTAAAACTAAGGTAATGCAATGAATTTTTTGATTCAAGTCAGTGAATTTCGATGTTATATCGTGGAATGAATAAATTTTGAAAAATGTGTAAATTTTCTAAACCTAGCGTGTCAAGCGGGGCTAGTAAAGTGGCGTTACATGGGTTTTAGGGGACATCTCGCCAAGTTTGGTTCGCTTAATGACTTCCTATCTGAAGCTAGGAGGCCAAATTGCCAACGACTAAACGTACCAATCATGTCCGTTGAATCGAGTTGAGTCTTAACGGGTACAGTGACATTTTTATCTGGGAAATTTGGCCATTTTCGAATGGTTTTTGTCTACAAAGTAACAAAATAGCTTGAAGCAAAAGAAAGTAAACAGGTGATAATGTGTGCCGGCATTTGAAAGAAGATTCACTTTATTTCAGCCTGACTAGTGAAATGTCTAAAACCTTAAAATTTCTACATTACTTGCAATAAGTGGCTGCCCAATGGTAGTGAAATATCGCTTTCCAATCAGACATCATAAAAGTCTCTTTATTGGTGACCGAAAATGTATGTGACGATGCACTGACTTAGAAAAACAAGAATCCTCTGCCGTTTACCGATTTTGGTCAGTTCGGCCCTTTAAAAATCATTTAACCCGTTCTATTTAGAAGCGAGTCGGTTTACACAGCACAATTTTGCAATCGCATTTTACGTTGGTGCCCAAATGATTGTATACATTTCACTTGGAGATGTCCTTTGTGCTGTTCAGTATGCTTGGAACATTATTCTTTTCAGTTAGTGCCAAGTGACTATTTAATTAAAAAAGACGCTTGTGAAAAAGTAATTTTTTATGGATAAAGTAAACTTTATTGAGTTGAACTGAAGCTAAAATTAATTAGATTTCTTTTCTAATTGCTTCTAAATTTTGTGTGTGTGTGTTTGGATTCAAATTGTAATAGGTTGACAAGAACAGCGTCGGTTAACTTGAAGTGAAACTTCGCCAGTTACAAAATGTCTGCTAGCAAATTTTAACTTATCAACTAAATTCCCACGTTCCTCTTCCTGATATCAAGTCTCGGCTTTTCCTAGCAAAACATTTTGCCTCGAAATCAGAAATAATTCTGGAAGCTCTGCAGACTATTTCCTTTGCAAAAAAAATTGTCTGTACTTTGTAATCTGGTCGTGGTTATTTACGCATGATTAGCTATTGGCTGCACTTTTCCTTGACAAAAGTTTAAAAAGCATGACTAAAGACATGTTTGCACGACTCTCGACGTTAGCTGTTTTCTTTTAAGAGCAGCACCAGTGTTCTGCTGTATTAAAACCAAGAAAACGTCATTTCCCGTTATTAATTTACAGCACAGATTTACCAAATGGCACGTACAGTTAATAATTATTGTCACTAACTTAAACATTTGCAGATAAATAAATGGTGCGTCTTAAATATACCCTCCTATTTTTGCCTAATTTTTTAGTGAAAACTCACCTGGTAGATTGTAATGCCGATGATGTTGTCTGGGAATATGTTACTAAAAAAAATGAAAATGCATCCTTGCTAGCCACCTCACAAGATCCTACACGGCAAAATAAAGAACACGTATTCAAAGAAAAAAGGCATTTGGGTATTACAGTTGGTCATCACAACCAATTGCTGGCAACATGTGTGCCCGCGAGATATCCTAAAATAGCTTCAGATTCAAGCCATTGCCTGTCAAAGAAATTGCATAACCAAAACATGCACAAAGCACCTTCAGGGTGCATATTATTTGATTTAATTAGTCTTCTAGTCTGTGTTTTAATGCTTGTAATTAACGGCACATGATAGAAAGTGTTGAATCAGGCTGGTCTTCTGTCAGAAATGCTATAGACTTTGAAGTTTACTACACCCAAACCATCCTGGCCTTATGATTCATGGGGACTGCGTGAATCATTGAAGATCTTGAGGCGTGAAGATGTTTATTTCGAAGTGCATGTAACGCAACAAAAAGGAGAACAAGAACAACGCACAGAAAAAGGTCGGCGAAAACGTCGGACGTAGTAACTGGAGCGTCGTAAGGTCCAAGTGTCTCTGTCGTGTTGGATTCTTGTACTTGGGTTAGCGCACCTTAAAGTTGACAAAATTAATACACTTTTGCATAACATGGGTGTGGATTTGTTGGGTGTGAACAGTGGAAGAGCCCATTCATGTGAAGGCTGGTGAAGAGCGTTTTTGGCACACGCGCCGCAATCAAGGTCCACAATTATTGCATAAGAAACGACAGGATTTAAAACCTAGAGAAATTTATTTTAACTGCATAAATCAAGATTAAAATTAATTTGTTTAAACTTGAATTGGTTAACTGACTTTGAAACATTGTCAAGATTAAATGTTACTATTGATTACGTAATCATCATCCCGATGAAAATATTATAAACTATATAATTCATTCCCTTCGCCTAGTAATCTTGTCGTTTTATGAATTTCAATGGTTAATAGATGTGTAGCACCATACTAGCATTAAAACAGAGGTCGTCAAGAAGCGTGAACGCGCTTTGAATTTGCACCAATGGCATAATGTGAAAACCAATGCACTCTGGCTATGTACCAAAAGTACTTGGTTTTTTAATATGACAGTGGGGTGTCAGCGGGGCCCCTTGTGTAAGGGTTTGCGTAGAGATTAAAATCAGCTTTAGTCGATCCACTCGAGGTTGTGGATCTGAGTAGGTCAGGCACTTAGGGTGGCGCAATGACGTAGTATGGGCGTTGCAACTGGCAAGACCCAGCTAAGGTGCAAGATGTGACCACAATTTCCTCAATAATTTATAGTGTTTAACTAACTAAACTCGACGGTGCTCAATCGCTTTGGCCTGCGAAAATTTGCCAGTTCAGCAATTTCATTTGCGAAATTGATGGTTATGAATGTAAGAGTTAGATTCATTGAAAATTAATCTAAGGCAATGGACATAATTCATCCGTTTGTCACCACATGGTGTTTATACGTGCGTGGTTATTGGACTATAGTTTAGGCCAAGAGCATGTCAACTGAACTAGGAACCAACAAGATATAATTCAGTTCAAGAAAACCCTTTGATATTTCTGCCCTTAATGCTTAATATTAATCAAATAGTTAATTTCATCATTACTTACCAGGCTTCATCAGAACAGCAATAATTACTCCAATGGGGCCACTGATGATGTCAAAACAGACCACGAAGCCGATTGCAGCCAATCCCATTTTGCCATTCTTCTTAGGATCCATTTTTGACATCACTGAAATGTAGGCGAAAAATTGGATGGGGAAAGCCTTGTAAAACAAATGACTGGCACAGTTTGAGCTGTCTCATTCGTAAAAACAAAATTAAATGCCAATAACTGGCGACAATCAATCAGGAGTCTGGCGGATTAATTGTCTTGGGGGGTTAAATAACACTGCTTACCAACAATAATGTTTGCCGCGATGACAGGCAATATAGTGAGTTGAAGAAGTCGAATGTAAATTGTCCCAGGCATTTCTAAATGTAAAATAACAATAATACATGCAATGATTTGGTGTGACGTTGTTAAAAATAATACCTTTCTGCGAAACGTCATCAAGCACCTTTTCCCTAGCAAACTATGGGAATTTACGCATGCAAATATTAAGTCTGAAGCCCGTTTTTACTGCTTTTAATGCGTTCAGGCTAACATTGGTTCAAGATGTGGCATTAAAAAAATTGGCTGAATACTACTTTGATTGCCAGGTGCGTGATCGTACATGTATAAGTGGGAAATACCATCTCCACCAAGAAGGGCACATCAACCACACTCACTGATCCACAATATGGCAGTCTCTGAAGGATTAGTAGTTCCAACGCCGAAGCCAATTCCGAAACCAATCGCGACGCCGATTAGAGTAAGGATGGTGAACATGTTGTCCATGACGCCTTTCTTGAACTTCGAGCCACACCCTTTGGGCTTGGCACTTTCCACTTCGTAGACTTCATCGAACTCAAGAGCTTCTGACATCGTCCTTGCCTTGCGCCTAAGTAGGCATAAGCGTTTAAGTGTCGGCTTTTATAGTTCTTCACTGGCAAACTACTGCGACCTTGTGGGCGTATGGAGTGATTCACCCAAAGCGAGAGAATTTGATAGGCTAATCGCGCTAAAATGCTCCTAGCCATTTACGCGATATTGAAGTAACTGTGAGGTGGTCATCTATAATTGTGGCATTATACGAGAAGTCTCGCCGGTGTCACACTTTTGTGTGCATTATTTGCCACGCACAAAATGATGACGTTATATTTAAAGTACGATGTAATTTTGACAGGCAGAAATGCGAGAATTTAAAACATCTCATTGTAAAAAAAAGCATGCCATATCATCATCTTGCTGACCAATTAGAACTGTGGCAGCTGATTTTATTACATCACAGCAAGCATTATTCGTGGCTGCTCGTGGCAAAAACGTAATGAACTCCTTCCACATTTAACGAGTAAATCGCAATTTATAACAAAATTCGGGACATCTTTGAGGTAACGTCAGTCGAAGCCGATCAAGCGGGATCCAGCTATAACCACGTCGATAGCTGAAATACAGTAAATTCGGGCATTTTCAAGGCATTGCGTGTGAAGTGTTGTAGGATGCCAATTTTGAGGAACTACGCGGTGGACTCAGATGTTGTCACTTAAAAGATACCAAAACCTTTTTAGGATCTAATCAATGGTAAGCAGACAGAATTGGCGCGTCCACAACTCAAGGCTTCACACACCTTCAGTGGGTTGTGCGAAACTGCTCGATCAACGTGTTGTATCTCCATATGGCTCTACTGACCTCGAATCTTTAGGTAGCTATTTTGTTTTAGGTTTCTTTTTTAAAACTTTTCGGGCGGTTAGACGTTCGCTAATGAAGACGATGAGAGTAACGAGAAACTGGCCAGAATCGAAGGTATGTTAAATCGTAAAGTTTTCAAGAGATGACGAGTGGTCATCAAATAAGCTTGCACATACACAATGGAATAAACTTCATCTGTTTTACAATTTTTTTAATATAATTTTTCATGATGAGTCCCATGTTTTTTCTTGCCGTTTCAGCAGAAACCACTTCTGCTATGTAAATCACATGTTCCAGCTGCCAAGCGAGGTGTGTATGTGTGCATGGAGCTTAGAAAGTACCTAAAACAGATTATGTGGTGACCCATATGTGCACTCAAACTCTAGTGGTACAAATTGATTAGTTGCTGCACCTGACCATATCTAATGTGGGATAGTCTACCCAACGGCATTACTGTGCCTGCCGGAATTGCCTGATTTTTTGGTCCTGCCTAATCTTTGTCAACTAGACACCGATAGCAATTAGAAGCGTGGTTCAAAGAAGTGTGAATATTGTGAGTCACGGTAAAAGCTTTTTCAAAGGCGAAGTGCGTGTCCGAGGTGACACTACTTTGGCTGTTCCATTTATTAGCCACCACAGCCATTTCGCTAGAAACTGGTGCAATTAAATTTAGCTACAGACCGCCGTGGAAAACGAGATTTTGGACGTTTGCAAATTTCGGTTGGATATTTAGGACAATGGGTCAACTACAAGCACCAAAGGGTTTTGCTAATTTCCACCAACTAAGAATGGAAGTATCGATTTAGCCCATTCGCGTTTACAATGAGGCGACAGGAAGTATATATAGTAGCTTGGTTTAGCACCGCCTTACGGCCCTCTAGTTGACAACTGGTTACATCTCGGGACGGGGGAGAAGGTAGGCGACATTGAACACAACCGTCTACTACCGTTAAACGAGCCACGTGTTATTGTGTGCATATGAGTACGCGAGCGTAACAGGCGACTGCAAAGAGGAGCCAACACCAAAAATGGTGAGTCATTGGTAGGGTCAGGCCAGCCTACACGCATCGCCAACGCGAGGTGGCTGTCTGTCCACCACACATATTCAAGGCACTTCCAGCCTTGAAGTGACCACGAAATCATTCAAGTTAGGCGCGTAGACCTCAGCATCTACGAAGGCACTTGAAATGTTCTGCTCGTAGATGTTGTATCACAAGTAACGTCCTTACCAGCATCAATCAGCCTTGCAATTTCAGGCTTTGATATCCCTTCTTTCGGCATGTACGATTTCGTCCACAGTGTCCTCAACTACTGCACATAATTATGCTTCGTTTGTCAATATAAATACATCGATGGAATTGTTTAATGCCTGTCATTACAATGAAGAAGCATCAGTAATAAGCGTAAATTTGATTGGGTCAAAAATTTCAAATTTAGCACGTGTTTAGGAGGGTTATGAGTTCTAATTATCGTCCTTGCTTTTCTTGTGCACCAGGCAAACTCCCTCCCAAACACCGTGGGATTTCATCACAAGTGACCTATATCACGGGTCGTTAGTGAAACACGTACCTTCTGCTCCTAAGAGCATTAAAACGCTTAAATAGAAAGAATTCACGTGTCACGCCTACCCATCGAAGCGTGAAAGCAGTAGTTGATTTCAGGGTTGGAGCGAAGTCTGAAGACCGTTTGCGTACGACATGACGAAGAAGGCAAACGTACAATCAGAGGAAATTGAGCAGACATCCGAATGCGCAAATAGTTGGAAAACTGGCAAAGTGGTTTCAGAAAAGTGCAGGTTGATTGATGTAATTCTTCGTTCTTAAAAGATTTTAATCTGCAATGCAACCTGCTCGGATGCGTGTGCTAGCAAAGAAAAAGGCATAAATGGGTGTGTGCTTGTGCGGTGAAAATGACTGTGCACATGGGCGTTGTGAGAAATCGGGTCAGTAACGTGAGTGACAGACTATTGGTGGGAGAACATGAACAACTTCTAACCTGGAGACGCTATGGTTTGTCTTTTCTATAGTGCGTTTCCACCTGTGATGGAATAGAATAGATCTGTTTGAAGTACACAAACCTTATAGTACACGCATTTTTCGACGCCTACTGCACAGATCGCTGCGATGTTTGTTGGAGGCAGTAGCAAAGAGCCCTGTGTCCGATTTAATTGGCAAGTGGTGGCCGTTTGAATAAATAAAGATCTCCCCGATTCTAATCAGAATATGCCTGACTAGGATGAAACAACGGAATAGGCCCTATTTGACTTTCAAAACACGTTTGGTTTCGATGCCACTTAATGTGACATGTATGTGGTGAAATTTACCAGTTTTAGTACAAATACTGACTCTTGTTGAGAGCCTGCTGTTTTTCCGTGAGGAAATGATTTGTTATTTTTCGCTAAAATTTCTCATTAACCTTCATCGCAGCTTATGATATTCTGTTTCTGGACCACTTTTACATTACTTGCCTATCGCTGTCAGTTGACAGCTTTCATACCACCAGCTATTAACATTTTTGAAGCATCCCCTCGACAGCCTGCTAGCATTGCATGGACATCGTCTGTAGTTGGGCCAAATGTTGCTGCCTTTGACTTGTAAAATGATTGCATCCCCAAAATCATCGCTAATCGCACCGTAGGCAGACTTCCTCACCGACTTTTTGACTGGCCTTAACAGCTACTCAGCGCCATTAACTGCGTTAGTCAGGAAAAGTTTACTTGATCTAAATGAATGTACGGAATTGCGTACACGCCTCGGAAGCAGAGGACATGGTAAATTGACGAATTCATCACGGTGTTTGGAGTTTTTATTATTGAAGTGGTGAATTCATACGTTGAGAAGAATGTGTAGGTTTTTAAGACAAAATCAAAATATTCTCGTTTGAAAAAAAGTGAACTGATGTTTAGGACACTAATCCCAGCAACATGTTTTGTTAGAGAGCGTTCGTAAAAGTGTCTGTGGACGGGTATACTCGTTGGCCTGGTTGAAGTTTCTACTCTAACTTGATGCATTAGGGTAAAATCTGAGGTGACGTTTATAGAAAATTGTGTAGCGGGAAGCACACAATAAGCTGTTTTTGTGGCTATTATCAAATTAAGACTTTACCGCCATTCAGTGTTAGGCGGTTTCTCGCCTGCAGCGCTAGAATGCCATGAAGATGGATTACGGCGCCCTTGCATCTTGCATACCTTGTTTACAAGCTGTGCTTGATCTTCGATGAATTTGCCTTACCACTGACAAACTTGAACGTCCAAAGAAATTGTCTAGCAAGTGGCTGGGCAACAGGATTTGCTGGAGCTTTGGAATATTATCTGCTTCCTTTGACAGAGAGACTTGTGGATTACTTTGGATGCATCGATACTCAAAATGAGAAGGCTCTCTTGATATAGCTTAATCCTGGTCAGTGGCAATTAACTTGTTAATTTAGAAGTAAATCTTATAAGTTTTTTTTTTAAATCTAGGCTGTACTCGACGATCTGTACCACACTTTTGCGTGGTTCTTTCAGTGGACAAAATTATAAAATATGCGGTACAGTACAGCGCCGTATTAATTTTTTTCCAAACATCCTTAATCTCATTGAGAAGTGATTAAAAACTTGCACAGAGACATTCAGCCACTCCTAGGGTCTCTGATTAAAAATGCGTACGCCAAGAACAAATTGGGGCCTTCAGTGGCGCATCACGGGACATCGAGGCGTGTCTTGTGTAATTATGATAGCCTTTCCAAAAACTAGACGCATTCTTTCTATTCACGCCGATGCAACGAGAAAAGGGTGTGTGTGTGTGAAAACCACTTGTAAAGAAAGTAATTTATGCCAAGGTAGAGCAAGTGTACGGAAACGGGGAGACTGATTACAAACGGGAAGCCACACTGCCAACTTTGATTACCTCTGCGTGTTAGCCAAATCGTGATTACATCACTTGTCATTATTCTTCGCATCACGTACATTCAGATACATTAAACTTCCGGTTGGGAGCTGTAAATGGTTTGCATTGTTGTTTTTGACACCCCATTTTCACCTTGAGTTGTTATTCAAACAAATGCGTTTACCTGGTCGTGTTGACAATGTTTTCTCCGATAGTTTGGCAGCTGTTAATGAAAAAGGTTCTAACTAGCTGTTCGGCTGATGCAATTTTCAAAAGGACGTTGAAGTGAATCATGTTGATTCACGTCCACGAACCCGGTCGTCGCAGCCTCACACGTCTCCCCTTTTCACAGCGTGACCGCCAGTCACTGGGACCGCCTGCCCATTCATCCCTCTGTACGTGCCACCACTACCCGCTCTATCTACGTACACTTTCATACGCCCGTATTTCTATTTACCCACTCAACCATATCAGCCAGCTGTCTAGTAAACGGTTGTGCCTCGTCCTCTCTGTTCTTCATCTTTGTGGGTTTAAGCCAACACGCCGGGGCCCTCAACAACGTCTTTTGCAATCCTTTGAAAATTGGAAGCCCCTACTTTCGACATGGAAGTAAGAGTTCTGTGTGTGAGCAAAAAGAAGCCTGCCTTCCATAATGGTTGAGATTTTCAGTGACGCCACGCAATTTGAATTATGTGGGTAATCTTCTTCAGTAACGTACCCGTCAAAGGCAACATTTCATTAACCGATGAAAACTCATTTTAATTCTTGTACAATCATGGTCGACATTATACTCTCACCTGGATAAAATATATCCCGTTTGAAAGGTACTTTGACAGTTCAATATATTTACTTCCAATGAGTGCACTTAAGGGTTAAATATAACTGCTTGGTCCGATGAACGAAATGGGAACATGCACCGGGGTGTTTAAACAGACTGTCTGGGATTGCTGACGGGCACGTTGTGAAAAGTGGACATACAAAAATCTTTTTGTTAAAACAATTAAATGGTACCCATTTAACTGTCAGAGAAGGAAATCTAATTAGCCGCATTAAGTAAGAAATTAACAAGTGTGCCTTTGTCATAATATAATTGGAGTAGCAAGATTACATGACAATTTTATGACTGAAAAGTAAGTTATATTATTATCTACCGTATGGAAATTAGCATGACAATTAACAAAGACGGTTTGTGTGACCCACGAAGTATTGTTATTATTTTAGGAGGAATTATAAATTATAAAATTTCCTCGATTATTTTGGTCGAAATGAGGGTTCCTCTTTTAAATTATATGTATCGCCAATAGAAAGCAATGTCTAAGGGAAATGCATTGCAAATGAACATAAAATAGCACATTTTGTCTAAGTAATGTAAGAAAAATTACGCTCAGTTTATCATTGCTGCTCTTTACTGTATGGGGCCGCCGGTATCTACTTACTAAATCCAACCAGTAATTGTTTCTAAAAACAACCTTATTTCCTTGATCTGGACAAGTTTAATTGATATATTTAATCAAAATTGTTTCTAATATGATAAAATCCATGACTAAATATAATTTTATAGAAAATTTCAGCAACTTATAACTAAGTTGTCTGCCATAGTCTTGCAAGCCTTTTATTTCTTATCCAGCAATTAATAGCGTAAAGTCAAGACGTTGCCGTAATGAAAGTTGAGTTGAAAATTCCTTCTAAAATATGTGAAACTAGAAGGTTGATATTTTTAACGAAATAAGACAATTCATGTTTTACCTTATTTGAAGTCAAAAATAAAAATTAAATTATCCACACATATGCCATGTCTAACAGACTTCCTGGGTGACGATAAAATAGGAGCTCATGAGGTATAACGGGAAATAAGAAAGATTATTGCATCTTTTTATTGATCGAAAACTACCTTTAAGTAACAAGTCGCAACAAAAAGAGGTCTAAATGAAGCAAAGAGATTCGAAAAAGTTCTTCATGATCTTTGCTTGAATATAGGTTAAGAAATTCTACATAAGTGCCATCGCGGTTTTAGACTTCAGTTACCAAATGTTTACACTTTTGTTAAAATGCATGTTACACTCAACTAGGCATTAGTTCTAAGTAATCGCTAAAACTAAATTTTCAATAAATCGCCCTCTAGAAAAGACAGTCGGTCTTTGTATCGTGAATCCTCACAGAAGACTATCCTAATAACTTTGCTCTGTAGGCTGTGTATTGAATGTGTGTTATTCCTTTAATTGGCCATGGGATTTGGTCAGATAATCACGTATTTCATCTCAAGAGAAAATCTGGCTATATGTTTTCGACACTAGGATTTCCAGGTTCTACTAAATAGATTTTTCCTATCAAATAATAATTATGCACCTCCGGTCGTTTAACTGTAAGCACCTCATGTTTTCAATGGAATTTTTATGTCTAATTGTTCAGATTTAGGTAAAAATGATCATGATGTAAAATAATGTAGCAACGACGTATGAATACAGCATAGTCGTGTAAATAACACCATGTCAGATGTTGGTCAAGATGCCGATCTTGATGAGTCGGACCTGAAGGAATGCTTACTTGAAACCCTCAAAGCTGACGGAACTATCAAAAAACTTCAAGTTTGTGTCCTTCTTCTCCTACTCTCATGTTCATATAGGATCAGTTAAGTGCCGCTGTATATTCTGCATTTTATCATAAAACGGCACCTGATGTTGACCGTGTCCCTTCCCCTTTAAGTACATTGATTTCAGACCGAAATGGTGAGCAACTTTTTTGGAAATTACGCACTACTAGGAAGGCATCGCTGCGGTCTCTTTATTGGTGGACTTCCTCCGTACCCTTAATCTTAGCAAAACACTTAAAGTCTTGATACACGAAGCGTGCATTGCAAGCAAATGTTAATCATTTTAATGATTTGCTAGAGCGATTTACAGTTTGAGCAAAGAGATGAACTTTCTGAACGATACCACTTGCCGGCAGTGCCGAGCACTGAGCCCTTACTTTCCTCCCTACTGGATTCTGTTCGTGCTCCGCCGCTACAGTTGTCGAAAGGTCAGACATTTACTTTTAATGTTCGAATCCGATTAAAAACACGGCCTTATGCTAACTGTGCTTATTCCCCAAAAAAAAATAATTGGCTTAGTGATCAGAAACAAGCGTATTTTTCTTACCTCCAGTTCTTTTTGTTAAAGAAAAGTCCAGTAGCCTCACGGCCATGAGGTCTGCTAAGCGTAGACTGTATTGGCTAATTGCATTACTCTTTTGTCGCTCTAATATTCATTCAAAACGAGTGTGTCGCGAGTGTTTGACTCGAGAATTATCTTCATTTCAATTTCGGAGCTACTGTATGACTTCTGTCTCCAAGGCAAACAATACTTTTACAAGAAATATTAATGTACTTGTTTTAACATGTGCTCTATCCATTAACCCCACTCCTGCAAAGAAGGAAAGCCTGAGTGCATCTGATTTAGTTAATCTTTTTTTTTTTCTTTTAGCCGTTGTCCTCGATCAGGATTCAGAGAAGTAAATTTAAGTTCTGTTTTGATTTCCTATAATTTTGCTGTTGAAATAATTCTGTGGCCTTGTTTCCATTTAAACTCCTCAGCTCTGTTATTTAGCAAATAATAGATTAGTATGTGATTATTTTGAAGTAAGTAACCTAAACACTTAAATGACTGTAAAAAGCTTTCTGGAAATACACGGGAGTTCTCGTTTACAAAAGTTAGATTCGTCTTTTTGCTGTCGGCCTTTCGACTTCCTCAATAATTGTTCCCTCCCAGTCTATTCAGTGCCAGTAATATTCTATACAGCATGCTTTATCTGTTGCACATTTATGAAGTGCAACTAGCCCATTTGTTTACACTGAAACTAAGAAGCTGTTTCCTTGCATGTTGAGTTGCACGTCAGAGGCACCGTTTCGGGCTTTCAATCACACGTTGTTATTTTGTGTCTGAAAGTAACACGATCGCCAGATTTCCGCGTGCAAGTATTTCGCCTCTTCACCCGGGGTGTACAACTCGGGTTCAACAGTACCCATTCACTTTCACGTCAGCTCCAATTCGGCGTCGTAGGGTACTGAGTGCATTCCCCTGTTTGAAAATGCCTTATCGCCATTGCAATTTCTGCATTTTCTAGCGAATTGGAGGGACCCGTGCAGAATAACGGCGATCGGCGCGGCCGGAATAAGCCCTCCTGGACGTCTTCGCCACCGCCAGTCGTCTCTCACGAACACCGAAACCAGCATCAGTCTCCGCCTTGCGCCATTAATTCCACGGACGCGCCAGGTATGCCTCCAAGGCGTGTCTAATTCTCCTCGTCCGCCGTGTCAGTCACCCGCATGATTTATAACTTGAATATATTCACATGTCAGTAGCCCTGTTCCTGTCTCCACTTTATCGTTTCCCATAATCGCAAGCGAATTTTCGATAACTTCCCTTAAATGTTTGCGGTCCTAAAAATTGTCGGTGGGTGTGGTTATAACAGTGCGGGAAACTCGCTCGTGCGCGTGTATTTTTGCAACCTGAAGGTCATATCTGTCGCTTTTTTCGTTCTTTATTTCAGATGTCGTACCTCAGATGCCGTCGGATCACACCAAAATTGGAAAGTAAATCTAATTTCCCTGAAATATTCTTTCATTTCTGGCACGCCACCTGTTTTTGGAATTTCATTACTGGGCATATCATCTTTTTCGTTAGCTGCCGATTTTTCCCAAGACGGTTCAATTGATTTTTGACTTGGAGCTCCTTTAGCTGCTGAAAAGCTTCTGTCTAATGAGAAACTCCCTTCTTGCGTTAGTTGTCTTCCAGTCGATTTATTCCACCTCCCCTCTACTTTTGAGGTCTGGTGCGCGTTAACTTCTACGGGTATTGCAGTTCACTGAATAAATTACATGATCGTGCTTTTTTTAACCAGTTATCTTACTGTGAAGTTTGTCAAGTTTGCATTTCACCCTGTGTCAAACGTATCCAGCGTCGGAAAAACAGCTTTGACGATTACGTAGTTGCCGTTCACAAAGATGACAATGGTTGTATTTGTAGTTGAATATTGTGTTCTTCCCCTACTATTCAAGCAAAGCCTCGGATAGCCTTCAGCAGATTCCTGAGCCCGGACGTGTACAAGAGCAAGACTCTCTGAGATCGGAAGCCGAAGAGGTAGATACGGACACCTCCCTTGATGATCGTAGTATCTCCATAGCCGAGGACGATCCGCTCTCAGCCTCTTCCACTGACGATCGCCCTCTGCCCACTTCTGGTCCACCACAGAACATTGCCGCGTCCTCGTCCCATGGTGGTTTTTCTTCGACGACAAATCAAGCCCAAATTGTTTATAGACCCCCGTCAAAGCCTTCTGCAGTAAATGGACCTGATGGCGACTCGGACATCGATTCTGAGGTAACCGGGTTTGTGGGGGGGTTACTTTTGGTCTAGACCACTTGCTGCAATGTTCACCAAATGGACTCTGTTAGATAGTTATTGGTAGGCAAAGCTGATTTCACTGCCTACATGTCGCTTGCTCACGACCTGGCACTCAACTTAAGTCACTTCACTTTGGTATTTCGCATTATGCTATCGCGGGCTTAACTGTGCCCAATAGAATCCCCATCGATATGTGTATCTTGTTTTTCTCGATTTAGAGTACAGCACATCGAATTTACGCATAATTCACGCCTTGACGTAAGTCTCCTAACCCTGCTAATGTTTCGCTTCAATCAACCATTGTGTCCGCAACAGTTGTCTGGCAAATGTCCTCTACCAATTATTGTGCAATTTGCTTGTCTGCCTAAGATGCTTCAGTCGCCTCGCCAATTCTAAAATTTAGTCATTGACTATCGTGTTACGTAGAAACTTACTAAAATTTGCAGTCAATGTCGCTCTGCGCCATGGGTGCACGCTGCAAACTCCAAAAATGGCGTTTTTCGGTTGCCGTATTGCCGTTTTAGCACTTGGAGCAGGCTGTGTCATTGGGCGTGTGTTGATTTGCTTGACCGAGGTGGATTTCTCCTGCACCAAAATTCACAGTCACACAATTTGGCATACCTGGTGGGATTTTGTGTGAATTGTTCGAATCGTTACCCTGTTTCGCATCGAATTCGTGTTGTTTAAATCAGTCGATTCCAATTTGTCCAATTTCTTCCCTAGCTTTGTTTGAAAGCCACTCGTAGCTCATTTTCGGGTTTCTAGCTATTGCTCTCGTTCCTGCGGTCATTCGGATGTCCACTATCGTCAGAAAGCATTTGGCCAAACCTATATTAGTCTCTTTTTGGTGTTCTCTTCAAAATATGCTAGCGTTTTTTGCAAACTCTGCTCGTGTGGTTTTTGAACTAGATTCTCAGTGGGTTTTTTTTGTAATCTAAGCCGCATGCCATTTGTATGAGCGCGGTTAACGCTGTGTGTGCGCCTGTTGGCCGTTCGCGAGCAGTTTTATTCGTCCTTTGCCCTGTTTATTCGCAGGTCGTTGATGACATAACAATGGACTCTTCAACGGTGGAGGACTGTGACTACATGGAGCCAGTACGGAAGTACAACCAGTAGAAGTGCAAACTTGTGCGTTCGACAACGCATTTTCCTCCTCTGCCATCGCTAGCGTTTTCTTTTTTTCTCATAGATACCACTCGCCTCCTGATCACAAACTCTACCAGGCTGTGTTTCCTCCGTTATATTATGCATACTTCACCCTACCCGTTCGTTTCTCTGTTGCCTCAATCCCACACTCCCTGTTAAGGTTACTTCTCTTGATGCTGGTGCATTGTTGTGTCTATCACGTTTACTTGGTTAAATGCAAATAAATCAATGTTGCTTGTTGTTCGTTGCCTTTTCCCATTTTTAACCGTTTTGAAGGTAAATAAGACAGCCGCGTCGGTCCTTTTTTGTCTGTTTAAGGGCTTGGTTTGTCTAGACAGATGTTGAGTTCCCCCGAAAACTATTTGTGCTAAGCGTGGACAGTTAAACGCGCATGCCCGTGAAATTCGCACAGTTAACTACTTGTCACTTTCGGTTTATCCGTCGATGGAGTTATGCTCCCAGTCCCACAATTTGGGAGCAGTTAAGTTGTTGCTTGTTCGATCGATTTACAATGCCCACACTAAATCCACATTCTGGGTTCGTATTTAAACGCCGTCGTTTGGTCGGTAAGCTTTGGGGCAAGCTTGCCTCCCTTTGCAAGGATAATAATCTCGTTCGTTTGCAACAATGCACGGTTGTTCTCGCAAGTAGGTTTAGACACTCCGCGGTAATCGCCAACTATGCCCCGATCGTGTACGTATTTGCGTGCTCCAGGGCTTGGTTTGTAGCCATGCCAACGGTATAGCGCTTATTGACACTTATGAATCACCCAGTGGTTTGCTGTGTGTGTTTTCGGGTAATAGGAGACAGCCAGAGCCTCGTGAGTTTGTGCAATCGAGAAGCGGCGAATGCGCAATTTGGCGCATGGGCTGAGCTTGGGTAGCTCCCAGGGTAGGTCACAGGCCTCTCGCCAACCTTTATTAGGGGATTAAGCGTTGCGTGGGGCTCACGTGGCTAATTACATCTGTGCCGAGGTGATGGAATCTGAATTACCTTCGTCATCATGCTGTTTTGAGGCATTGTTTGCGAGGCAAACTAGGCGACTTTCAGTGAAATTCTGATACACTGCAGAAGCATCGCGATCTCGTGCGGCTGCGGTGAATGGAGTTATAGGAGCGTTAACATATGCTTCTAATGCACAAAAGGAGCGACTTTTACAAATTGTGGCGCAATTCTGTCACTTAAGTGAAGAACAACTCCATTTTTTAACCTTTACACAATCAGCCGATAACTTGCCCAGTAGGTGACCGAATTCCTTAACTTTTTATTCCTTCCCGCAAAACTCGCAGGTTGACCACAACATTTGTCAAAGATCATGATAAAGTCATTTGAATTTGGCATGGAAGCCTCTGACACTGTTTAATTCCAACGACCTCTCCTCTTAATTGTGGCATTTTAACCGAATGCGATTACTTGGTGTTCGAAGTTACTGTCGTTTTCGCCTTCTCCTGCCCAAAAGCTTGTATTTGGGGGGAGGCCAGTGTTCATGCAGTAATTGTTAACTGACTGATTCGATCAGGGCTCTAGTATGCGATTCCTCAATTTCAAGCCGGGTCAACGTGGCTTCTGTTTGAGTGCAAGATTTTTCCCTTCACCTATTTCGCTCCTCTAGTTGTTTAAATAGAAATCCGTAGCAAACATATTGGACAACGCCAAGCTTAGCCAATCCTGTCTTTATGCGTTTGAATGGCCTGCAGTTATCCGGAGACAAGTATAGACGCGAAGCAGTATGTCTGAATGGCGCTGCCAGTGTAGAGGACTCGGATAAACACTTGCACTTGTTTCTATCTTTGCGATAGATCGTCTTGATTCGCGTCCATTAATTATGCCGTCGTACACTCCGACAGACGTCTGCATAATCACTCGGATCCGTCCTTTCACAAACCACCGTCACTCATTCTACCAGCAACCTTCACTAGTCATGCACATCCTTTTATACTCCGTGGCGGGCAAGCAAATGAACCAATAATGCATTTCACGGCAGTAAATAGTAAATAGGTGTGTGGGAAGACTAATCATATGATGTGGCTTGTCGTTCAAGGCAATAGGATTTCGGTTTGAAAAGAGTACTAATCACTTCCACGTTCGCTTACAAAATTTAAAGCATTCATTTCAGCCTTGTTGGCAATTTTTACTGTTGAGTGTTACTTTGCACCGGTATGTGAATGCAAATCTCAAAGCGTAATAGGTGGAACCCTTTGTTTGACATGTCGAAGGTTTCCAAGGACATGACTGGAGCTTGTGCGGAGGGCCGTACTGTCTGAATCAAAAGTTTAAGCTTGTTCTGGATCGTGTTTATTCACACTCAATCCGGTGGCTCCATCCTCCTACAGAGGGTTCCCCTTTTTGCAGCATGTCACCAGCCGCGCGGATCCTCAACTCCCCCTTCATTAGCATGGATATTTATCTTGGAATATCCTCACATCTAGGTCTCGATGTTAGCGCAAACTCCACACCCAACACAACGACACCAACATGGTGGAGCTCTGAAGTAAACGGTTGTGTCCACGCACTCTCCGATCTTTTTCTTTATCGCGGGTATCAGGGAAGCGTAATCGGGTCAGGGTTAATTCCGTGGCCCCGGCGTGGTTCAAGACCACATGCTGGGGCTTACAACAATTGGTGACCCCGACGTGATGAAAGTTTCATCAAATCCCACGACAAGCTCAAACTGGGGCCAAAGCGGAAGTCGCGTGGGCACATACCCAGTCACTCTGAGGTCGATGTGTTGAGTAATTAACATTGAATGATAATGGTTAGTGTGAGCACCAATGCGGCGTGAACAGAGGTGAGTGAATAGCAGTCACAAATCGTCGTGTTGAAATTTCGCAGGGAATATTGAAACCCTCAACATTGAGGGACCTTGGATGCTTCCTTGTCGAAGCAGCAAGGTGCACTATGCGACTTGCGTTCAACAGGCAAACATGTGCGAAAAGTAGATATACGCAGCACATTTCGATTAGCTGACTTACTTTGGCCTGACGTAGTGGTAGCTCCACCAACTCCACTATTTATCATGATTTTATCACGGAAAGTCGGATAATCATTACCTTACTGACGTTTAAATCGACCTCTACCTACGACCCTATACTCCCTGCTTGAGTTAGTCAGCAATTTAATTAAGCAAAAATGAAAATCAAAGCTGGCCACTGGTAAAGCTTTCAATTTCCGAAATCTCTAGAATCAGCTTCGTTCTGTTTTCTGCCACTGCGTCTCTGGAGTGGTTGAAATCATTTACAATGCATCGCTTTTGAACGAGGAAATTTTGTCATCCATCTCGGAACATGCGAGGCATTAGCTTGTATGCTGAAGTGCATTTACAGCAATTAGCTAAAGCCATTAAAATGGATTGAACGTGTAATGAATCCTGTTGATTCACGTCCGCAAACTCTCTCCCCAGGCTCTGCACACCAACTACTTATCACAACGCCTCCATCAGTCATGTGGACCCTTGTTTTTAGCACCCCTCTACTTGTTTAAGCCCCCTTCTACTCATCTGGCCATTCAGGCAAATGGACGTTCACTAGCTCACCCTACCCGTATTGGTCAAGAACCTAATGAGCCATACACGTGTAGTGAATCGTGTTGATTCACGTACAATAACCCTGTCTTCGCAGCTTTCAGCATACCTCCCCCCTTGTCACGCGAGACCGCTGGTTCATCACCCCTCTGAATGTACCATCACCACCACCACCACTTCCCGCTTTGGTCATGTGACCTCACAAACACCTGTGTTCATATTTACATGTCCACTCAACTGTAAAACAACACAACTTTGTGGAACTACCTAGTAAACGGTCGCGCCTACTATCTCTGGACTTTTTGTCTTTCCGGGTTAGTCTCGTGGTAAAAGGTCCTCAACACACGCAAGACATTGAGCTCTTCACATAAATGGCTATTTCTCAATTCATCCGTGGCTACTTTGTGCTGTGTGTATCCATAACAAATTGGTTAACTCCCGACACGAACATTCCTTAATCCCAACCTTGTCATTTGATTATCCGGCTGACTGAATTAGAAGACCCTCTTCAAGAGGCAACCAAATCTTCCTTTATTCCCAGGGAAATCGAGGACGAATAACCCCAGACTTTCCGACTAAGAGAAACAGCGCCTCGGTCAAATGCAATATGCTGGTATCACTTAGTTGTCTGGCTATTTGCAACCATCCGCCACCCAGACAACACTCCAGGTCATATCGCCAGTCTTCTTCATGTTCTTTTTCTCGAGACGCATATTGGCACCATCAGACTCTCGGGATTGCGGTACTGGGATGTCAGTTATCACACTGCTTCACGTTCACGCAAAATGGTCGGGGAAACAAGGATGCCTGATAGTAGAGAAGTCTGCTACCAACGGGCATTCCAGCTGCTGCTTATTCCTTAATGACGTATCAATAGACTTTGGAACAGAACTTTCTTTTATTCCTCCAACGCACTCCAAAAACCGGTCCCCAAACCATTTCTGTGTCTTCTCAACAGCCAGCTGTTCCGCCACTGTAAGCAATGGACAGAATTCCCTTACTCTTGACCTAAGAATCCAGCGGTACCTTGCCAAGTCCTAGGCGCTGACCTTCCCAATTTCATTGGCCTACTCGTTGACATCTGGTTTGTGCATTACAGCAAAACAAGAAGACTAAGTTGGAAGTGAAAAGACAAATTCCAAAGAGAAGGCTAAATCGCCACGTCTAAAGAAAGTGTTGATGTGTGTCCGGTGTGTGTGTGTGTGGGGGGGGGGCTGGAAAATGATAAAATGTCTCAACTTTCTTCCACATAGCCGAAAAAAAGCGGCGCGGAACTACCGTGTGCAAATCGCCCGCCTTAGTGCTGAAACCCGTGATCACTCGAATGGGATTCATCTCTCACCATGACAACACTAGACTATGAACCGCTCAACAAACTCAGTGATTTTAAAGACACGATTGTCCACCCGTACGCTCACCTGTTCCTATCGGATTTTCATTAGTTTCGTTTACTGCAGAATAATCAGAATGACTAGGACCCTGGTTGGGTTGACGAAATCACCGCTATTAAGATACCTTTTATGTGAGAAACCATTGAGTTTCTGCATGTAAGGAGTCCACAAACTTGTAATAGGTAGAATTGTTGTAGAAAATGATGGAGAATACCCTATTGATTGACCAATGGCTTTCCTCACTGAAATGTGTCGTTTTTAATTTGGTTTCCTTTTGATCTCGAACATTGTACTCGCTCGTTACTTTATAGCATAAAATGTTCTACCGTTTGTATCCCTACCTTTCCTAATCACTCACGACTAATTTCTGCTTCACTCAAAAACACAAAAGGCAAATTTTTAAAGCCTATTTTTCAGTTCCTCGGATCCTATTGGCTAATAATAATAATGTCCGCGTTCCTAGTTACCTCTAGTTCCAGCTCTAATTCATAATCCAAGTAATGTCAGTAGCATAAAACCATCCATTGCCTGAAAAACAGTACAAGAGTTCCAACCTAGTGGTCCAGATCACAATTTAATTAAAAATGGTTTCGAGATGTCAGGTGATAGTGCAAATCAAGGTGGTAAATCATCACACGACTTTTTTAATGCAAATTGTCTTGATTGTCATAAAAGAAATCTACATGGGACACTCATAACCAAAAAGGCAGCAGTTTTTTTACATCTACAGACTGTTACTCAAGGTATCTTAGTTTAGTAACATATTTTAACCTTCTCCCACTTGATTAATTTGCGGTTTACGAGTTTGGCGTGTTTTTGTGTATTGTTCCAAGATTTGTAGCGCACGGCTCACCATCGACTCCTACGAATTTTGGCAATTTAAGAGAGTAAATGGTGCGAGGACTGCGGTAGCATCGTAAATGTGCACCTAGAGAGTGGTTAACTTATTTGTGCCATCAATCATGCGTACAATATCACCTGATTTTCCCAAGGCAATAAAAGCCTCGCCAACAGTGCCCTTGATCCGGCTTTCTTGGTTCAGCCTGAAAAGCGCATTCCGGGAGGGGATGCTGTGCCTACTGGGTGAATGTCAGTTCACCACAGTCACAACTTGGGTAACAGCGTGGCCGTGGTGACCGTGTTTTAGGATATCCAACCAAAACTTAGTCCCAGTGTGCGCGGTTAGTCAAATGAAAAGCCGAAGGCTTATTTGAAAGCGGAATAACTTACAAACCATGGATTACAACGCTGGATTCCAAAGGTCTAATTTAAAACGGTCAACTGTGTGCATTTACGGTCACACGTCCTGGAAATAGCCCTGGCAAAATTTGTTTCTTATGGTATGCTCTTTGCAGCTCTAAGCCTCAACAATCACATGCAGAGAGGTTCAGCTTCCCTGCACTCTTACGCACTAAATTACAGCTCTGGGGATCGGCAACACACATGCATGTTGCAGCAAATATAGAATTGGGACACTACATCTGATAGCTAATCATACTTATTCACACCTGCAACCTTGGGTTTTTACACTCTGGGTTAACCACCTTTATACATTGGAAGCAAATCTGGTACTAATTTACATTTAGAATAGCTAGGAATGGCTCTCTGAATAGGCAATATCAGCGGTTGTGAGTAGAAATTTGGCGCCGAGGACTTGGGAGCGGGTCAATGAAAACTGAAGGTTCAGTAAATATACAAAAACGATGGAGGAAAGGTAAGTGAGGTATCACTGTAGAGGTTGGGCGGTGGGAGATTCAATCACAGGGCTTTCGATTGGTTTGGTCTGAGAGGAATTTTCTGCGTAGCTGGCACAGGGCGCCCCAAATTCGCAGGACAGAGCCGCCGCTAAAACGCCGGAAAACAGGAGTCAGTCGACACTCAGAGCGAATTCAATAGAACCGCCTTTCGGTTGGTTCATATTACTGCGAATCTCGAAAAGTGCAAGATCAGTTATTCGTCTCAATTCGGGGCTGTCAAAAACCCAAGTGGCAGAACAAGGATAGAAAAAGGGTGAATGGGTGGATGGGATTCTTAAGCTTTGGAAGTTTTGCAAATGTGATGGAAGCAACATGAGCGTAGGGCTAGATCAAACGACCCGATTGGATCCTAATTGAGGTTCCGTGGCAGCGTGGTGAGACGGTGTACGACTCCCACCATAAGAAAGGGAAGTTGAAATCCAACTGACACAATGATGGCTCCTGATGCAACTATCTGTCTAGGTACGCTTTACTTCGACGAAGGTCTGATTCAAAAATAGGAGGTTCTGTGACTCACGTAATGCCCAGCCTCCAGAGATCTTCCTTCGTAATGAGTTCCAGGAAGTCATTCTGGTCGAATTTGTGACCTGTTATCTGAAATAATAACAATATGTAAAGACGTCATGCTGATATTTGTGGCAGTGAAGAAGCAGAAGGCAGCACTAACTATTTCGATGTCCTCCATTGGGATTCCCAATTCACCGAGCCACTTGGAAAGCGAGGAAAATCCGGTGGAGATGCCCGTGTAAGTGTGCGCCACCCCGTCAAGGTTGCCAGTGGGTGCCGCACTAGCGCTATGCAGGGTCGACGAAAAATTAAAGAAGCAAAAACACATTTCAGCAGTGGTTGTGTGGGAAATAAAGCGTGCACATGGATGTGTCCATCATGGTGTGTTTACTAGAACATTGCATGATGACCTAGATGTAAAAATGTCAACTCTAGATGTCAAAAACACTTGTTTGTTGGCAAATTAGCCAACCTATTGTTAACAGCACAATTGAAACCCATGAAAGATTCCTTCTCTGCAAGTGTGATGATGCTTATGCGAGTTTTCTCTGCGACAGTGCAACTCCAACTCAACCAGTTCCCTCCGTCTAGCCGTAATTTCTAGCACCGGCGGCGATGCCTCTCTAATTCCACTTTTCCCTACGTCTTTACATTCCCCGTCTAGGTTTTCGAGAGGATTAGACAAACTATGGGCGTTCAGTAAATGTGATGAAATTCAGGTAAACGCAGGCTACATTTCGCTTGGCGCATATCAAGGAGAGATAGTTGGTCGTCATTCCGTTACTGTTATTACCCCCGCATTGTTCTCAGATTCTGTGGGTTTCATCCAAAATAGGCTTGTAACGTTGTTTACCGAGAAATAGCCCTTTTCACGTTGATATCAAAACAGGCAAAGGGTGTGAGAGACGGTTCTACTTACGCAAGTCGCTCCAGCGAAGCGATATACGCTTCCTTCCTTTCAAGTTCACTTCGAAGCAGCTGATTGTAAGTCTTTGTCGCTTCGCCTATCTCCTCAATAATTCTAAAAGGGAATTGCACATTAAATTTAGTTAAACAAAGCTTTCGATGTAACCTAGGTACATTGTCGGAGCAAAGTGCGACCAACTAATTGCACACCCTTGCAACAGCCGCAAGCTCATCCTATAAGTCAGAACCACATCGATATTGACAATGGCAGTCATAAGCTTCTGATCTGACTTGATTGACGGCCTTGGTGTGGGTTGCTGCCAGTTTTACAAGTGATAACGAAAAGTTTGGTGGGTTGAATGCGGATCAGTGGATCCGCTGGCCTTGTTTACGCCTATGTAACGCGTCGTGCTTTCTAGACAAGTTTAATGTGAGCTTACAATATGGTCCGAGGTTGAATGAATACTCTTGTGTGCATATATAACGGCAAGAAAACTGCTGAAGCATCACCTATCGATTGATTCTCAGAGCGCATTGTTCAAAATTAGTTTATCAAATTTCATTGGGATGATTTCTATTCGTTCTAGTAGAGCCTTCATTGACATCGATCGTGATTACGCAACTGTGGCAGAAATTCGGTTAATTCTTGAGGTATCTTGGACTCCTTCAAATGATCAAGATTAAGGGTTTTGCGTGAATTTGAAGAAAAACGCATTTACGCATCTGATTGGTGCTGTGCCATGCTATTCAAACGCAATAAATCATGATTTTGGAGCAATTCGTTACTTGAGGTGCGAAATACATCGCCTACGGTAATATATTAGACGAAAATTATCACGAATCGAGCGCGGTGAACCTGCACAAACCACATCGAAAGAAGCCTTTTGTCAATTTGTTAAGAACACAAATGTGCTGTGAACTTTGAAACGCTTCTAAGCCATCAATTCAGACAGTCATTAGCAGCAACCAGTCAACAAGAAATCAAAAAAGAATGACAATGCAGGTTGTCACCGATGGTGAAGATGCGCCTTGAATCAGTAAAACTCCGGAAAATACACCAATGATAAGGTTTTTTTAGTACTTTAAAATCGGAGTTTAATTTTGCAATTGAATCTGTTTCCTTGATGGTTTACCAGGAATCGCAGTTTTCGAAGCCAGTGCAAAACAGTCGTCTATTAGGCAACATTGCAGGATCTGGTGCAAGAACCTATTGCACACACCTTAGTAAGTATTGTGTCTACATTCGGAACAACAGTAAGCAAAGCGGTAAGACGTGTCGTAAAAACACATCTCGAGGTCTACGTGACTGCGCGTAGTCACAACCACACTGATTCGTGATTGGATGCACAAGGATTAGGCGAGTTCTAATAATTAAAGATCGTCGCATGCAAGCAACCGCAGTCTGGCGGTTAGCGATGACGAGCTGAATAAATTCGGGATACGCGATTACAGTTTGACGATAGTCTTTAATAATCTTTGATGCTTGAATACGCCCTACCAATAGGAAAGCGACTAAACTTGAACCAATGAAATTGCAGTCCGGTCCAATCATGAGCTCTGTTGGACTAAAACTAATATGACGCCAGCATATACCTGCATCAGTAGCCAATCAAATGGAAATTTTCCATAGTCTCACAGTCAGTTCAAAATTGAACAACACACATTTTGTATTGGTCAATGTGAAATTGGTTAGTAAACTTGGCCACCAACATCCCGAGGCAATTTTTTTGCAAAATTGAGATTGGTCCCATTCACAGTTTGTCTATTCCCACGCAATCGCCCTGCCTATAGCACTTCAGTATTCACACCAATTGTTTAGTCACAGTATCACTGAATCACAATGGCGGCTCCCATTCAAATGACAGTCAAGATCACCTAAGGCATAAAAAAATTCTTTCATCCTAACATGATACTCGACCTGTGGTTGAGATGGTGAAAGATCTCTTCAGAAGGTCTTGTCTTTGTGCTGGACAAGTAAGAGTGACGTTTTGCTGGCAAAACGTAACAGACGAATACCCATCCCACCTAAATAAAATTAACTTCTGTCCAAGAAATGAGACTTCTGTGACAAAAAACCATCTTCTGAGAAGAGATAATGCAGAATAAATGACATACTGCAAGCTCATCCGTTTTAACTCCATAAGCGCGGCGACTTCAGAATTGACTTGGTGCTTCCATTCAAACTTGGGAGACACAGCGCTAGCAGAGGAGGTGGAACCGGTGGTCGTGGTAGGGTTGCGTTTCACGTAGCGTGGAGGGTGTGCGTTTCGACGTAGCTGCATCCTCCGCCCGAACAGAGTGCGCGGACGTGGCGAAGCGGGCTCGTCTAGGACGCCGTTCACGTCGGCCCGGCCGTAGTTCTCTTCGGAGTCGGCCCCGGTCAACTGTGAGTCGGTGGGCGAAGAGGGCAGCGGCGGTGGGTGGGTGGGGAGTTTGGCGCTGGGTGACTGACTCGGGGAAATGAGCTGCACCCGACGGATCGACGGCAGCCACGGGGAGGAGGCAGTGTTTCCCGAGAAGGAGGCGGACGGAGTCAGTGTGGGCTTGAGGCTTCGCGCGCGTTTAGTGTTAACTTGCGGCATCAAGTCAAGCCGCTGGCCCGCACTGATTGTCTTCGTTCGTCGAAGGATTGTCGAGGGATCTTGTACTGTTTTAGCAAAACGCAGTAAGCATGGTGATATGATCACTTGATGCTTCGTTCACTCGAGAGGCAAACTGGAGATGCTCAAGACTTACACGCAAGTTGGTCAAGAGCCTCGTTGGCAATATCGCCGATCAGTTTGATCCAAGTGAGCATTTGATGTGGCTTCTGCTGACACTGTCCCCCGTCTGTCAGGGGTTTGGGCAGGGTCCGGCTCAGAGCATACCAGGCACGCTCAATGAAGCACACCAGTTGTTGGACGACGTCTTCGCTAGTTCCATTCTCCTCCTCGGCAGTCTGCTGTTGTTGGTGCCTCTGGCGCTTCTGTTGTTGCAGGATTCGGCTGACCACAGAAACGAAAGCGAGTTCACATGCAGGATGGCCCTCGTCGAAGGAGAAGGACGTGGAGATGCGATGCACCAAGTTGCCCAACATGGGTGCACGACGATTAGACAAGGAACCAGCCGGGACTCGAGTCTCCGCGTTTCGAATGGCAGATTTGAATAGGCGGTTTAGCGATTGCAGAGAATCACTGCCGTTAAGGGCGTCGATTAGAAAGTTGAACATGCACTAGTGGAACACGAGAAAATAGGCGCAAGTAAGTGTGCATTCTTTTTTAAGAAGAAAAAGAAGAACGTATGAATTGCTAGTAGTTGGGGTCATGATGGCGTGAACGTTTCTAATCAGACAGTTGAGTTGGGTTTCAAATTCCCACATTACACAGCCCGACACAGGGACTGAACCAGTTAACTGCGCTGTGGAAAGCCAATTCCTTTCATTATGTTGTTGAATACATCGCCTGCAAGGGGCGAATAATAGCAGTAGTTTGTAAGCAGGGACTTTTTCGAATTCGGCACGATTAAACACCACAAATCAACCAGACCAAACCAAACGCTGAACAAAACAAACCTCGTTTAGCCAATCATTTTTCTATATTTTAGGGAATTTATAATTAAAAAGGGCATTTTTGTAGCTTGATGTTTAAGAAAAACTAATTTTACCAGTCTTAAATGGCATATAAACGTCTCATTTTGAGATAAATCAACGCCATAAACAAAAGGAACCATTATCAACAGCCTTAGCCGAAAACCGGAATGCTCCACGAGGGACAACGCGGCACAAACTGCAGCGTGTTGTTGACCTGGTGTTACGTACTTTGAAGTTTCTATCAAAACAAACACTCATTTCTGGTGTTTGCTGTTAAAATTGATTGAATAGGATTGAGGAACGGCTAGGACTGGTCGATTACAGGGGAATCGAGTTCCACGGGAACAATTCTAGACCTCAGGCATTATTGCAAACTCGTGCAAAGTCATTGTAGCGTTGATTGTGATGTCGCATTCTTCACACAGCGCCTACCCTACATCGCGAGACACGTACGTACTTAGTGCTTTGCGGAATTCCTTGATTGGCAAGTTTTTCTACTTCCCACCTCGTTCCGTTTGTACTGACAAGCACCAGAAGGTTAAGACGTGCAAGGTGGCACAGTGGCAGGAAAAATTACCAATTTTATCTCTACATAACGTAAAAATATATAGTCGTTTAATCTCATAGCAAAAGCACAACGGACAATTTTCAAATCCAGAAAAATTCATGTAGGTATTTGGCACGTGGCATCTTGAAAATCATGCATAGCGTATTGAGCATTAGTAATGCCGTAGCTTGGTCGAATACGTCTAGTTGCTTGGGTCAATTTTTTTCGCTATGTCTGTGTGATCGTATCAAGAATGAGTCTGTAGAGGAGTAACAGCGATCGCACCTTAGTGAACCCTGTTTACTGACTTGACGACAATAATGACTTTCCCTTTGTTACTGTTGTCAAATGCCTGTCATCTGTTCACTGATCCACACTTGGCTGGCGTGTCGCTAATAAACGGTCGTATCCTCTGTCGCCTCTATTCACCCCTTTCCGGGGATGTTACGAGCTGTTAATTAGAGGGCCGTAAGGTAGTGCTTAGACCACAAGCCACTACAAGTCACTTTACCTCGATCAGATCACGTTCATCGCGCTCACGGGAGTTGGTGAGGTAGTTGGGACTTGTGGGGGCAGACGACGGTAATGAGCCTGAGACGGTGCAGTCGTAGTCGTCCGACGGACCACGAGAATGGGACATGGGAGTCGCAGGAAGGCGTGCCACGCTTGTGGTCTGCTTCTCCCACCACGTCAGTACGGCCTGTTTCGACTGCATTAGCGCTGACGACAGCTGTTTCTTTGCCTCGTCCATCTACAAATCAAGAATACGAAATACATATTGAGGTCAGTTGAAGAGCGTCGATCAGAGACCAACCTCGCTGGCATGAGCCCGTCTCCATTCCCAAATTCCCATAAATTACCATATACACAATCAGCCAATAGCGCACTGACTTCGGCTTCACTTTCGTGTCTGATTGGTTACTTAAATTATTCATTCTTTACATGCGCTTATTATAATGCTTCGATTAAACATACAAAAATGAGCTACATTTGTGCTTTCGTATTTCAATTTATTTTAGCTTAATCATTCTTTCCATTTTTTGAAAGTATCTTAGAAGAAAACCCTTCAAGTACCGAATCCGGGCAAGCAAGCAACGAGGCAGCGAAGGATTTCGGCGTTGACAGATTAAATAGCACTCATCCGATTAGTCAAAATGGGGTGGAGTCTTTTTTGTGGGTCAAGGTCGGGTAAATTCCGATTAGACGCCTGCCTTAGACCATTTTTCGACAAAGAGTCGGAGGGTACAAATAAAAGCAACGACTAGGCCTTCTTGTAAATCGTGTTTATTCACAGCCCTTAATCCGGTCGCTGCACCCCCGACACAGGGTTCCACTTTTAGCAGCATGTCCCCAGCCACGCGGATCCTCAACTGCCCCTTCATTAGCACGATTATTTATCTTGGATTATCGTCAAACCTAGGTCTCGATGTTAGCGCGTGTATGACTAACACATCCGAGGTTATAAATACACACGCGCAAACTCCACACACTACGACGACTTCGTCAAGTTCTCGAATTAACAATTGACTCTCCGTCCTTCCGCAGACTCCACCCTTGTTGAGCAGTTAGTGGTATATGGCGTCACAACAACCTCACCTCCCGATAAGCACCCCAAAAAACAGTTCAAGACGGTGTCACAGCCCAATCATCGAGGTGGTGTTTGCAGCGTGACAACTCACACTCTTGATGATGTTGAAGTTGTCCGGAGACTGGATGCTACCGCTGACGGGCGACGCGGTGGTGTAGGAATGAGCCGAGATTTTGGAGGTGCCCGAGAGGCCGAAATCGAACTCGGGACTGCGGAAGGCTTCGTCGGGGTTGAAGAGCACCGCCGTCGAGGTGCCGCCGTAGGAGGCGCGTTCCCGCATATGCCGCTGTTCGGGTCGGCGGCGTGGTGGTGTGGAAATGTTGTAAATAGGCAAATCCAACGTCTTCAGCGGCGACAACTCCTGCTGTGAGCCTTGGAGAATCGGAGCTGTCTGGCTAGTGGCGGTGGAAAAGGCACGAGCATGTGGTATTGAGATATCCGGCGTCTTGATGGAGTGAATTCTATCTGTTTGTAAAGGAAGCGAGTAAAAAAGATTTTATTTTTAAATATCATAGTCTCAAGTGTAAAGTACTTTAGCCAACTCACCACACCTGTATATGGAAGTATTTCTGTCTTTTATTGGACAAAATGTCTCACTTTTCGGTATTACAAGTTCACTTAAGGCTGACAAAAAATGGAAAACAACCCAAAAAACCGCCGTCAAGCGCCATTGATCCTTTGTTCGGATGCTACCACACGGATTTTTTGATCCTAGCATGAAATCCTGCAATGTTCACACTTGTCAGCGATTCGTGAGTATACTCACATTTAATCAGTAGTAGGAATTGACGCCAAACAAAAGGGCATTTGCTTTGGTTGGAGTACTTAATAAATGGTTGCGAATTAATGGGTTCACCAGGGTCCCGGGTTTTATACAACGGAAGCGAATTTTATCCGCAACGCGACAATTGTAAAAGTATGCGGCCTCACACGCTTTCGCATGATCAAATACGTTATCCACAAAAGTCCATGTTGAAGAGGATGTTTATGACTAGATTGCACTTTATGTAATCAATTTTGATGAAATAGATAGGAAACAGTGGTGGAGTGAAAATCGACAGGGGCTAAGCCTGAAGTCTCAGTCCAAGTTTCCTTGTGGACATCAGGCAGGTTGGTTTGAAGTGCATAAAACACCGAAACCAAACAACGACTAACATAATTAGTAAATATTTAGGCGTAAACACACTGATAAAATGCTAATATAGACCGCATTGTACCGGCATTATTCGATGTTTTTCCGACAGGTTACAGACTCGTTCATTAGAATTATTAAGAACACGTTGGACACTAGGAGGGCAATCAGATTCGTGGGTTTTAAACCATCGCAGATATGAAATAGATGGGTTTCAATGAGGATAAGTCGGGTTTTGTTTAAATGAAGACTAAATCTTACCGGGTAGAGCACTGAATGGCGGGATTTTTCGCTTTTCACCTTGACTCTCTGAATGTAGTCTAAACAAGATGGACGAAATGACTTAAGCATTTAAGCATAACTTTTTCAGCCATAGTGAAATGCCAGTTATTTGAATGATGAGCACACACACACACACACACCGCACAACCAATGTGCCCTGTCGGCTTGCTACACAGAAAGGGGAATCGTTGGCCCAGAGCCAAAGCGGGTTGTTTGATGTTGTTGTTGTCGTTATGGTGTTGTGTCTGGGCCGGTAGGCTTGACAAGTTGTTCAAAAACATCCTTAAATTGTCAGTTTTTAGTTATGTGATGAGTCATAAAGCTTTCCTGATGTTGGTTTCACGTGACAGCGGTGTGATCGTGAGTTTTAGGTGTCCTTGTTGTTTTAGAAAATAAACGATTATTTTTTTGTTTAAATTAGAAAATCTTGATTGTTTCATTAACGTAGGTAAGAAACGAAGAGGGTCACAGACTCATCCCAAAGCGGGCATGAATCTGCATTCGATAACATTCCAATAACGAATCGACTTGATTTTACTTTATTGGTTTGGAACGAGATTCAATCAGAATGAGACAATCTGAAAACTCAAGTTAAGGTAAGTCAACCAAAACCGAGTAAAGCCATTGGTCTATTCGCACACAAAGGACGAAGGGGTATAACAACCATCCGACGTATTTCGAGACTTTAAGCTATCAAAATAGCTCCCGACTAAGTGGTCAGATCAACAATAAAATATGTGGACGTGAAATTTTGCATCAGGTAATCTATGAGCAGCAAAAGAACAATAATATAAGTAGCATAATCGTTGTTCTAGACCTGTTCACATGCATACCAAGAGCTCTCGTTTAAAGCCGATTAGGTGACGCCAGTTGATTCAAAGAAAATGTGACATTAAAAAAGCATGGGTTGCAGAGGATATGCAAAAAAAGTGTAGAAAGCAATACAATGATGTGTTAACCGTTAATGTGCCAGTTAACGTGACACATTCGTCAAAATTAGATTTACAGGAAAGCAGTTTAGAATATGACGAGTTGACCAGAGAGTAATTTAGGTTCAAAAATAGGCGTTAGGGATCAGCAATTTTATGAGCGCAAAATTATTGACCTGCCATAACTATGGCAACATCGGAGAAAAAACGGTAGATGCATAACTGATTTTGAAACTTCAAAAACCTGACTTCTGGCTCTACGGTAACTAAATTGCTTCCCATTTAGCTCAGACATACCATTGGCAATTGATTCGTACTTACATCGGAAGGAATGTTAAGAATGAGTCAGCATTGTAAGGATAATTAGCGACGAATTGTACAAAACTGTGGTGGCTTTAGCAGTTAAAGAACGTAATTTCATTGAATTTAGCTTAAGTCGCGGGTATAGATTAGAGCTACGGCAACTACCTGGACCTTCGGAGCAAAGTGGATAGCCTTAGAGGTTAGTAATTTTCAAAAAGAACGTGAAAGTTCTATATTGAGGCTCCGGGAATGATGTATGACTCTCGCAAACAGAAAATGTAGGTAGATTAACAGGCCACAGGCAGCGATTGTGTCTATTTACCTTATCTTGATGTTGTGTTGGGAGAAGAAGCTTTTCATTCTTAGGTGAAAGGAAAACACATTTAATCTAATCCTAAGCACACGAACACACACACACACACAAAAGACAGCCTCAAGTGCTAAAATTTAGGGCACAAGAGTACACCATGAGTTCTGGCGCAGGTAGGAGGCGACTTGTGCGTCGGATCGTGTAGGATCAAACAGACCAGCAACGCAGCATCAATCATTACAATGTAACGTATCAGTCTGCTAGTTACCTCCAGGTCATTTGGTAAGGATGGAGGTGGTTAAATAAGATCTGGCTCTGCAACCAGACACTACTTTATCCACTGTCTCACTAAAAACAAAACACGGACAGTATTTAACTGGCCTGATAATGCAATTTCACTTACTTTTGCAGTGTATTTGAACCGGTTTGAGAGATCGGAGCGGGTGAGTCGGAGGGTCTCGCTACCAACGCAAAAAAAGTGCATGAGAACACTTTATGAAGGGTGTTTGACAAGGTAAAGACAAAGTCAGTAAGCACTGATCTTGGACGCGAACGAGATAAAGGCATTTCGCGCGCTTCTTAAGTCTACACATCGATTTAAACAAACAGTGGGATTGTTTGGTTTCCCGGACCGTAAAATAGGTTTAGAAGCACTCCGGTAATACGTTGCACAGCGGTTAAGAATAAACTGATGCGGAGGATATCTTTTTTTAGAAATTAGGAATGTTTTCGAACATTTAGTTTGCGCTTTACTTAGATGCCATTAGGTAGCATTTGTAAAAACACGAGGTAACAAAAACAGAGCTTAGATGAGTAACATGAAATGAGCAAGTGCATCACCAAGAACCACTTAACCAATCAGGCAATTGAATGTTAGGTGAGGTCTAGGGGCGAACGCGATTTTGTGTTCCAGGCCTCGCAAAAAGGGTTGGAATCGGGCGCGTAAGTAGGCTTGAGTAAGCCAGAGCACCTGACTGCCATCTGATTGGTTACCGACACGCACACAAGCACAGCTAGATGGATCACACTTGCGTCATTAATCAATGCTTTCATCACTTCGTCACATATTTTGCATGGGAATAATCAGTGATTTGAATACTCGCCCGACCACCATGACACTAGAATGATTGACTCACTCCGAAACATCTTAGCTTTTGACAATAAAATGCAACGGTTGTGTACACTTTGATCCTGGAAAAATTTGATGCACTTCATAACACTATAGTGCAAACTTACGCGAGGCACCTCTCTTTGGCTGCTGCCTGACCTTGTGCCTTTTGTACCTACAATCATAAGGAGATTCTTTTACTCAAATGCTTCTTTTCTGCATCGCTAATAAGTGCGTTCGATAGCCACAAACGTCCACTTTGATAGCTTGTCGCCAATGCCCTTTAAACATGACTCGTTGCCGTACTTCGTGACATTCTTAATTTTCATTTTGACAAGTCTTATCAAACTGAACTTCGAGTGAACAAGTTGTTGACTAGCTCTAGATGAAGCAAATGATGCATAAAAGTTGTTTAATTTTAGCATTCATGTGTTGCTTTATGCGAGAATCGGTTTAAGATTTGCACACATCTCATTCCTGTTACATGCTTAAATCTTAGTGAATCGGGGGACAATTTGGCATCAGTTTAACAAGTTGGTTCCGGCCCAGTGGTTGACAGTCGTTCATGCACTTTAGTACACAACCCCCACAACGGCGCATCACTGAAATTCACCGAAGACCGCTTTAACAGCACGTCAAATAGAACTTAGCTTCAATGCCTTAAGGGGCTAGCGATCAGACAAATTTTAGCAACATGGCATTCCGTAAATGGCATAAACTAACAGCAAATTGGCTCCGTAAAAAAGGAGGTTTCTGGGGAAGAGGTCAAATACGTCATCCACAAAAGTCGCTTGCATCGGAATCAGCTGTCCATGTATGCAAGTGCAAATTCAGTACTCGCAACGCTTTGAATTTTGCCTTGGTGCACGTAGGTGCTGACAAGAGCAATAAAACATCTCGAGTTACAGTTTAAACACGTCGGAAGTAAAATTGCTGTCTCGTAGGGAAATTAATAATTAATTCCACATCGATAAGAAAGCCGACTGTCTGTAAGAGGCCGTGCCGACAACCGATTTATTAAAACAGCTTATAAATTAGGCAAGCTTGGATACAGCAAACTTATGGGATAGTAGGAACAGATGTTACACAGATAAAGCCAGCAACCAGCGTAACCATAAAGCTGCCGTAAATCAATTGGAAGTAACAACTCATAGTCGAACTTGGTAAGTCTGATTGCCATGGCAACGTAACATCAAAGGACTATCACAAGGCGAGATCAAGCTGCACCTGAAGCCAAGCGTGACCCGAGGAAATTAAAGTGTTGGGAGAGGAGGTTGTAACGCACCAAAGTGAAAATTGAGGTCCTGTTATATGGTGCGCACTACAGGCTGAAGGAATACAATTCCACATTTCGCAACACAACTACGCCGTGATAACCAACATCGCCCAGCAAATGAAATGGGTCAGTTAGGTTTGTAAATCTACTTTGATTAACTGGCATTTGCCAGAAAAAAAGCCTGTGCTGCTGACGATCCTTTAAGGCGCAGATAGGTATCACCCATAAATCATGTCTGATAGCCAGACACCAGGATTCACGCGGAATCAGTATTTACACTGGGAGGCTAACGCGGAATTATAAAAAATCCGGAAGTAGAAATTGCAATTAAGAAAGTCAATTTTGAAATAAACTTGCTCCAAGTCTGTAAATTACAAATCAAAGTTATCATTAAACTAAATCGTGGTCAGTTAAGTATGCATGAGATTACATAAAGGTTGTCAAATGCATCACACGCCCTGAATAACTGGGTTCCACATGACTTGAAGAAGAAGATGAAAAAATAACTGAATCAACCAATTAGTGTTATTTTGTGCTGCTCAAAGTTAACGAAACTACCACTGGTGGTCTAGGTGTGAGAAACTGCCACAAAACCACATCAAAACCTTATTTACACAAATTATATGCGTGTTTTTAGGTTTTCAAAGTTGCAAAAAGGGAAGGGTTTAAACCAGTGAGGGTGCAGGAGGGACTGTGATAGAGGCGCTGACCTCGCTGAAATATTTAGATGATGGCGCAGGTGGTGTTAAATCCCAAGAAAAAACGAGACGCATTTATAAAGCATTCAATCCGAGGATGAGGTGGTATGTCGAGAACAAGGTGTAGCCACGCGACCCAGTGTAGGCGACAAATTTTGTTTTCCAGGCTGTATTTTCAAAATATTTTGGAGACAAGAAAGTTTACCAGATCGGAGCTGAATCAACCCTAGATCCAAAGACGTGCCTGGCACCGTGGTAACCAACAAACGCGCTCACATTCACACACACACGCACACACATGCGCGTATGCACACACGCACACGCAAAGAATAAAACAGTAATTAAGTTAACTCCAAATTGGAAACTCACACAGAATTAATGCGGATCGCCTCACTACGTGAAATGACAGAGTTTGAATTTACTTGCGTCTTCATGGGAAACTAGGAAAGCAGATGGTTGCGATGACAATGCACTGAGAGAACCACAGTCCGACCAACAGTGAACCACGCTACACTTCATCAAACCCATCTAAAGACCCCCTAGAACGACATTGGTTGGAGATTTGTTTACGTCAAGGGAGATGCTAACCAATGGTATGCGGAGACACCCAAAAACCAGTCAATTTATTTAACATAAACAACATAAGTTAAATTTACACTAGACTCTAACGAACCATTAGCCAATCGCTGACACGAAATGATTGCCGTCTTTGAATGCGGTCATATTGGCTGATATTCTGCGGATCATTTGACAATTCGATCCATTAACACAATCCTAAATTACAATGACTACATACCATTTGACCCGAGAAGAGAGGGCTGATATTGTTAGGTCCAGGTAGATAGTTAAAGATATGGATTTAAATCGTTTTGGAATTTAACCAATCGCTTGGCGCAATTTTAGACATGCAACCAATCATAATGATGTCGCGTCGATCATCGACCAGCTATGACAGACTATAGGTGAGAGGACAAGGGGGCCAAGGTTAGTGCGGAAAACAACACCCTTTACACAAGGCGACCCTTTTCCTCCGACTGGAAGAAAATAAGTGCATCTATGCTGGCATTCCGCACTTTAAAAAAAAACAATTTTGCATATTAGTTGTCTGCTTACAGTGCCAGTGGTGCGTTGATAACGTAGTAACTTAATTTGATCGCTTTTACGTAATAGACTGAAAGTTGAAGATAAAAATTCCATTGCTTTATGACTGGTCCGAGCGTCGAAAAGGTCTCCTAGATGTAATGATTTGCATTAATCATGGCCCTGATGGTGGGTGCACGTCTGCGGTGGTGCGTTGTTTGGTGTGGCACAACACATCGACATTGCCACTCGTCTCTATATGCCTTTTTCTAGCTCCTTTGTACGAGCTGAATCATCCACGTGAACACCGCCACAAGCGATCTTCGTTTTTAGGACAATAAATCAGGCTACTTGTGTTAACACTTGCTTCAGCTGGTCCATCGAAGCACGCATGAATCCTTCTACTAATTAACCCGATAGTTGCAGTGTGTTCCGCTTCACAGACACGACAACTGAGATGTAAGTTTAAAGTGGAACATCACGTCCGTTTTATGCAAATTCGACAACGCCACAAATTAGCGATTTACCGATTTGAAATTAAGAATAGGGAATGTAGGCGAAATACGACGTACATGTTGATGAAAGGATCAGTGAGAAGTTCATCGGCGCTGGCACGTTTTTCGGGGTCAATTTCGAAACAGCGCTTAATGAAAGCCTTGCACGGCTCCGGTAGGTCTTCGGGAATGTCCGGATGGGCGCTGTAGTATCCAGCTCTGTAGAAAGCCGCAAAGGCATCGAGCTTTTCGTGGGATGGAAGGTAAAAAAAGCCCGAGTCAATGATCAATCTTCAGAACAACTCCAAGTCGCATAAAAGCAATGAAAGGACGTGCACAGGAGCTTACGTCGTGGTAGGGCAGTTTGCCCGTCACCATTTCCACAACTGTGCAGCCGAAACTCCAGATGTCCGCTGGGTAACCGTAGCCGTCCTTTGAGGCGTTAATTAGCTCCGGCGCCATGAAACGCATAGTGCCTGGCAACGGACAATGAAGAAAAACAAACTTTTCATTCTGAAATGTTTGAGTACACAAATTGGCCAAGCGCCTGTTCCATGGGCATTTTTTAAGCTTGTGATTGGGGAAATGGCACAGCAAGACTGCACACATTTCTGATATTTTGGGGGCCAAACTGAGTTAATTTGAAACTTGCGTCCTTTGGTATGAATAAGGGGTTCACAGAAATCGATTCGTAGATTGTGGAAAAGGAAGCAGCTCAGTAAAACAATCCTCACACACCTGGCCTCTGATTCAGAAAGCTAATATCAAGGCAGGCGCTTTACAGCGGTATCATTGCGAATTTGATTTAAACATAAATGAGTTGAGTGCGTCTAAGCAACACTACGTCCGGCTGATTGATTGACTGATTGATGTCGAAGACGAAAAAGAGGTCGTATTATGATAGCGAAGTGCACTCACACAACAATGCCTGCTCAAATGATTAGTTAAACTTACCTGTAACGGTTCCAGCCTTCCTGATAAGACCGCCCAGTCGTTTGGAGGCCCCAAAGTCGGCTATCTTTAGCTCGCCCCTGTACATGTTCACTAGGATATTGTCTCCCTTAATATCGCGATGCACAATCTTGCTGGCGTGCTGCAACAACAAAACCAAACTCAAACTAAACACAGCATACACGACGGGGTTTTTTGGCTAAAACAAATAGCCCTAACTGCAACAAACGTGGCCCTAGGTGTTATGCAACGGTTACAGTGCACAATCCAACGTGTGAATTCATTTGCAAAAGACAGAAAACTGTTTGTTGTGTGCACATGATGAGTGCTGAAGGATTTTTAGGTTTTGTGTGTGGTCTTAAACCAACCATCAATAAAATGTTCAACACGCACACCTTAGGACAAAATTTGTAAGTAGCGATTTCCAAGGATTCACGACGATGTTCCGAGGGTACAGCATTAAGGCATGGAAGATTGCGCAAGATAAGCAAATTTCACTTAGGATGCCAGCCTTTTCGGCAGAACAGATGACAAAACACAGATTAGTATTCTTTGGTAATAGTGAAATATTAGTTCAATTTTTAGAAGTAGCCAGTTTTATACCAAGACTAAATATGCCAAAAAAATACTGCCAAGAGTGTGCAAAATTGAGTGAGGTTGTGTATTTTCACTGCTAAATTGCATATAATTGTTAAATAAAGTTGGTTGAAAGTGAAAATTATACCCTTGAAAGCACATGAAGTTGGGAGACGAAGATAAAACAAATACAACACCTATCCAACTTTAATACATTTTAATAAAATGGATGAAAGCAGCTAGAAGCCATGCCAATTAGGCAGCTAAACCGACCCACCAGTCACGGATTACGGCCCAAGCTGCAGACTGACCGAAATCCACAATTGGACACAGTAAAACAAACAGTATACCGTTGCTAGGCAATGCTTTTCATTGTGGCCTGCACGAAATGCGCGCCCAGGCTACTTCCATCACGGAATAACTGGCTGCCAATACTGTACCCATTTCCCTGCTATCTACCCTAACTCAAGACTCCTAGTTGTTTAGTGGTATTATCTTCGGTGAACGCGACGTGTAGGCCAGCTGTACGAGAATGACAAGCAAGCATTGAATGCGTGAAAACTCAGCTTTGAAGTTGAGCAGTGTCGAAAATAAAAATCACTTTGCGGCTCAGTTGAAGCCAATTAGGGAGGAGTTACGGTCAGACATAACGAGAAGTCGTGCAAAAACTCACCAAGTACCGCAAACCCTCTAGGATTTGACTGGAGTAATGCGAAACCGTTTCGTCCCTCAATCCACCGATTTTTTTCAGCAGAAAACTCAGCGAACCTAGAATTTAACAGGAGAAAAACATTGCAAGAAATGAGGACAGCAATGAAAGGGGGTCTTAGAGCCCCAGGAAAAAGGCAACATCGTGTCAGGTTATTTACTTTCAGCAAACAGGTATCCAGGTCACGCAGTAGAAAATCGTTTAAACAGGGAATATTTTTTTGAGACAAGGCCCGTTTGTTTGGAATCACAAAAAAAGCGAAAGTCATCGTCATGATACTGAATTGTTAGCGCGAAAACCGGCAAATTACGATGGAAGGAGCACTTTACCTCCAGGAACATGCTCCATGAGAATCTTCAGCACGCCATCCTCATAGACCGACCCGAGGTAGCAAACGATATTTGTGTGATTTAGTCTAGACTGAAGGTTTATCTCCTCGATTAACGGCTGCAGGTCCCTATTAAAAGCCAAGGAATAAATGTACTATTTTTGCTCAGGCACCAGTGATTTGAAGCGATTCGGTTATTGTGGAGCAAGGCGGAAAGATGCTCACTTCTGGGGAATGTTTTTAATCTCCTTTATGGCAATCTTGACTTCTCTACTCAGTTCGCGACCGGCGTAGACTGTTCCGAAGCTTCCTGAGCCTAGCACGATTGGGTGGCCGTTTTCGTCGGTCTCGTAGACAAACTAAAACCAGACAGATGAATTACAGACAGACCGCAAAGAAACCTAATGCCTTGTAGACTGGGTGGAAATTCCTTGGCAACATACACAAAACCGTTTGCTTGCCACACGAACTTGGATGCTTGAAGTTCAAACTACTTGAGGTAACAAGCGCAGAAGTGGTCGTAGAATTCACACTTTGGAGTGAATCCCACAACACAAATTTGCGTAGCTGATTGTGGGAACCTTATGCCACAAGCCAAAACTTGATTTAGTTCTGCACCCTAGTCAAATCCGAGGCATGGATAAGCCGGATAGTGATGAATAAATTAGTGTTAAAATCAATGTATTCCACACATGGCTCCCGTGGGAATTTGAAATGTTAGTTGGTATTGAGACTACCTGAATGGGCTTATCGTCTTCGTGCTCATCAACCAAGTAACTGTCATACGCGGAGAGGGCTGCCCGGATTGATGCCAAGAACCTGAAAGACAATTAAAGCCAACTAAATATGTCACTGCCATTGGCTGCATCAATTACATGCACAGCCCTACTCTGGGCAGCCAATCAAATTTAATTTCGCCTTGATGGGTTAATGTTCATAACGCGGTTATCGTGTGTATCAAGGCAAATTTTGAGGTGACCGTTCCACTAGCGTTGCTGACATGCTACTTTAAACACGAACAGTAGGTGTCCAAAAGATAAGCTAAGGATATTCCGGCGACTACTAGAGAGACAAAGAGCAATCCGAATTCGCGATTGACTGGAGGCAAACTCAGGATTCTAAGTAGCTGGGTGAAAAATAGCAAATACAAAGGCTAGGCTAAAGGACATTCAGTAAAAACTGAAATCGCGAGTGAAATTGTTATCTAATAGTCCTGCTTTTTCGCTTGAAAGGAAGTCAAGCCCACTTCTGACACCTTTTGAGGAGCCCTACTCTACTTGTAATCAGGTCTGGTGCATTAGACAAATTATGCAAATCAATACTGCTGGCGCAGGGAACGTAAATTTGGCACGAGAGATAAAATCAACGTAATTATGAGCAATGCAAACGCACTCCGTTCGCGAATATTCACATGGGAAGTAAATTGAATAGTCCTCGGCCTGTACGGTGAAGAAGTAGAGGTTCCGCTTGTCCTTTGGATTAAGACTGAAATCAAGGGCATGAAGACAGGCCTTGAGCCATTTATGAGCACAAAGTCCGTGTAAAAACAATACAATAATGGCTATTTAAGCAGCTGACACGTGTAATTTGATGTCAGCAAAGTCATGGAAGCATTAACATTCCAAAAGTTTGAAAAACTAGAAAATAGACGACAATTTGATGGTACAAGGTGAAAAATCAACCTCTAACCAGGCACCATGAGTTGGTAAACATGCGTCAGGACTAGCACTGCCTTTGCAACATGTCAATCATGGACGACTCCCAGTGATTACTAACTAACGTTTTTATCCTTAGGTGTTGACAGTAAACATTGAAATAGATTTGTTGATTAAAAACACATGATCATTCAAGCGAAAGTCCAACGAGGTGGAAGTGTGTAGACAGGACTGCAGAACTATAGTTCCCGGATCAGATGAGCTGCGACGCGTTATCTAATTCGTCATTACCGTCATTTTCGTTTCTTCAGACATGTTTAAATGCTTGCACAGAGAGATCGAATGAGCTCCTTTGAAACTAAATCTATTCTGTGAACGAATGACACACTAATCGTGAAGTAGCCTGTTAAGTACTTGCAACGGTTGCATGCGTACTTCCACTTGATCAATAGCACAGGTGAATGACATCTCCATTTTGACCAGATTTTGCCATAGTCGATCTAGCTTTTAACCACCTGTGAGTTCGTTCAGTTTGTCATAGCGATAAATCTAACTACGCTAAAAGCTCTCTTCCAATTGCACGATCACATTCAACACAATTGTGGCTACGACTTGGCCATCATCGGCTTCTCTAAGTAGGCCAAGACAGAGTCGGTCAGACTGATTAAGAATCAAGACAACGGAACTACATCAACTGGTTTGGAGATATGCGTTTTTGGCATTGTCCAAGCATGCTTGTCAACGCACTACGCGCTAAAGTGGCGTTAAACGTACAGCTTTCAAAGAATTTATTGTCGAATATTAAAAATTTCATTAATTAAATAACAGGAGGATACCAAATTTATTGCATTGAGTCATAAAACAAACTATACGACCAATCGCGCCTGGCTGCACAGGGCTAACAGCCAAAACTTATATCGCACATTTGAAAAAGCAGTAAATGGATATAGGCAACGAAGGAAGTACAAAGAATGATGATTAGGCGTTGAAAACTGACAACTTTATCGCTACATCCATGCACGAAACGGAATTATGCAAAGGTAATTAATGTCTATTCGGAAATTGAAAGTTGAAAAACGTTGAAAACTCTCAATTTTGCACTCCATATTAACATCGAGCAGAAACTATCAGCCGCAAAGACAACTACGCGTAATTTGTTCCAAAGGTGAGATGAAAGTGGCAGCAATCAAATACTAGCATTGACAAAAGCCAAGTACCAGTGAGCACAGAAGCTACTTTCTTGCCAATGTGAAAGCAGCACAGCAAATGACGTAAAAAGGAAATACTCAAGTACGGCAATGAGCACGTGCGCTCAACGTGAGCGGAGTAAACATGGTAAACGTGGCATGTTAATCGAGGGTTTGAGGGAATAGTGCGCTTTAATGCTGCCTAGTCCCTAGTTCTGCCAGGTACTAAAGCGATGTGAAAATCAAGACATTTAGTCAACACCACACCTGAATCCCTTGATGTCGTCCTCGTAGAAGACGAGGTCATAGGTCTGGTTGAGTAGGAGGTTCGGTATCTGCGGCGTCTCAGCGTTCTCAGAGGGGTTCTCATCGGCGAAGGTGAAGACAACGGGAGTCGCGGCCCGGTGCGTTGAGGTCTTGAGAGGCGGCTGCCTACTTCCATCGAGGTAACACACGCGCATATTCGGCTTGTCCGAGTGTGCGTGCAGGTGGAGGTGAGCCGGAATAGGCTCCTCCCCGCTCATGTCCACCAGAAGCACAGGGAAGAGAATGCGTGGTTGTGGCGATGACGGGGTCTCCGAGGTGTTGACGTCTTTCGACTGATCTCCATCCGCCTTCTTCTCCTTGGCCCCATCTGTGGTGTCCTTTTTTGCTGAAAAGGGTAAATATAAATGACTACTAGTGTGGAGGATTCTTTAGACCTGATTGTAACATTTACAATGTTAGTCTTGATTTATCCGATGTTTTAATTTTGATTCCTACTGAGCGCCAATTACGATTTGCTCACTGAAAGAGCAGGGAGCATGGTTAGCGTCACTTGAAGACTAGCACGGTCGTTATAATGTGCTTAAGAAGTCATTGAACGTGTGATGTACGAAGATTTTGACTAAACGCTTTCGGGATCACTTGACATGCGGTGACTTGTCAATTACTACAAAATCAACAGACACATCACAGAGATTCTGCGGTTGCAATCTAAACTGAACCCAGCTATAAAAAAACGAAAGACTGCGTATAACAAACCAACTAATCAGACATGTCCAGATGCTTGCACAACGAGATCGACCAAGTTCCTTTGAAAGTAAATCTGTTTTGCGAACAAATGAGACACTGACCGTGCTGCTTGCCACTAACCGTGGAAGTAACGATTCAAACAGCAATCAGAACTTCGCTATCCGTAGTTTAAGCATTCGGGAAAACTACCCCATAGAATCGCCAATTATTTCACCAGAGAGTTCCAAGGAACTGCAGTTTCAAACTCAGACTTTTGTCAATTATGTCGGAATTTAAAAACACATTAAGACATAGCATTACAATTGCTGCAATTTGAAAAAAAAACAGGCACTACTCCTCAGCAAGTTGTCATCACGGGTTCTACTCTAAACATGAGTGGAGTCCAAGTTTCGACGCCACAAAATTTGCAGCAGTTACATATTTGGCGCATACGTTTACTCCTTACTCATTATCATAATAGTTGTTCAGGATAACTTGAAAACATGGTTAAACATTCCGTATCGTCTTTGTTGTTCTTCGATTCCGGCGAGTCTATTTGTTAGTGTTTAAGCTGCTGTTTATCACAGTTTTCGATCTAGTAGTTCCAGTGTTCAGCCTGTGCTGTAAAAATTAGTAAGTTATCTTCACTGAACTGCAACCCCGATTTGCCGCGAAAGACCCCAACTTTAAGAACTGAGCCCTAAAGTAGCCAATTTCTAGGGATTAGTTACAAAGGAGTCTTAAAAGGTATGCGTAGTTTGATTATGAACTTGGCATCCAACTTACCTGGACTTTCGATGCATTCCTGGAAGAATTCCAGCCAAAAGTTGAAAAGCTACGAGCAAAACAAAGACTCGGTAAAAACGGATTTAATCGGACAGAATGTGCACGCAGTCACGTGATTACCTCCATGTCCTTTAGCGTTGTGTCCGCCTTGATTTTTTGGGCACGCAAAATAAGACGGATGTTTCTTAGCGTCGAGTTTAGGTGCCTGAAAAAGAGCCACAGAAACAGCATTTCAAGCAGTGTTTGACTCGCAAACAGCTAGCAACAATTCCTGGCGCACCAGTTGACTAGATCAACTTGGCGTTTTGCCATGCATTGTCACAATTGTTGGATAGCAAAACAGTGAGCGCTCGAGTGGTCTTGATTGGTTCGGAGACTGTCGTAATGAAGGTTGGCTTAATGTAGGTATTCAACCACGCTACTCATGGGTTTACAAGTAGCACACAAACTGAATCGCTATTTACCAGCGTAATTTCATAAAACATTTGTATGAGAGTATGTAGATAGCTTTCCAGAAATGTAGACCTCAGATTATATAAGCTACGACACGTTACCTAGTTCATCCTGCATATTGTCTTGCATCCTTAGGCACCAACAGGAAATAGCGTAATTCGGTATTCCAGGTGACACCTGGCATGTTGGTGCCTTGAAATGCAATTTGTTTTGATCGACTGAACAAAGTTTAACTAGTGTCCTTGAAACTTGTTAAATATGACATCAGCCTCAGGTCATGCATAGGAACGTAATTTTAACTCAGCTTTTTACAACGATTGAAACCGATGTATAAACATCCAGAAGAGTAGGTTACATCAAACGCAAATAGTGCTGCTGATAAGACCAGGCCCCAGGGGTCAAAACAAGGTCAATTTGATGTTTAGGTTCAAATTGCAACCGTCAATTGTGTCATAGAATAGGCACAGTTAGCAGAAACACGTAAAAAAAACACGCAAAACCATGGCAAAAGCCCGTAAAATACGCGAGGGTTTGATAGAATGATTGTTTTGCGAAAACCCACTAACATTTGTGCATCCTTGGCAGCTGAACGTTAATGAATTAGGATTCTGACAACTTCTAGGGGATTTTGGTTACCTCTCCATGCAGAATTGGAACTCCTCGTTGGACTCTCAAATAGTACTCAACCACTGGACTCATGACTGTCTCACAACTCGTCCCGTTCATTTTTAAACCAACGAGACTTCACCTGCAAACGCAAACTGCTGCCTGCATGTCTTTAAATCCCACAAAATTACATCCATGCTCATGGTTGTAGAAAAATATCCTACTTTTTTATGCTTATGTTATGTTTGTTTGTTGTTCCTCAATTTCGGAGAATATATCCGCTATTTGCTTATGCTGGTGTTATTTGCATCAATTTTGGCAAGCAGGAAGCATCGCTTACCAAGAGGGCGGGTTCAAATTGTGCATGCATTTAGCGGCCTTGGCGGCACCCGAGTAGTCGCCTCTAAGAACGGAGACCTCAAAGAACGTCGCCACATCCCAGTAGTCCTGCAGATCCTGTAGGTTGCCTTTGCGTCCCGCGTTAATGTACAGCATGTTGCCTGTTTATGTAGACAAAACCACGTGGTTAGTAAAAATGCGGTTGGAGAAGGTAGGATCATACAACATGCGTTGGTAGGCGAAGTCACGGTTATCTACTTCGGTTCTGTACAACTTTATTCAACTACTAAAACAAACACTATCGTTATTTCGAATTAAAGCCTTTATTATCGTCGTGTCCGAATCTTCCGCCGACTGGAAAATGTCGCCATCCTTATCAGAGCTTAAGTGCAAATCGTAGCCAAAATCTTGGCTTGTGAGATTCTATAACAAGAAACAAACTGAAGAAGCCGTCAAATTTCCGTGATCTGATTGCTTTCATGCTACTCACGGCAGGCACTTCGAATGTTCACGAATGAAGCCGCGTACATGGCATTAGGTTAGCACTTATGGGAGCATTGAATTTTCACAAAAATATGTCAATCTGGTTTAATCTCGTTTTGTATTTCCCTGCATTCAATTACGTTTATCTCACCAGGGTGATCACAGCTGAAATCAGGTACTTATGAAACTGTCTACCATGATTAAACAGGCTTTTTTTTCTTGAAGTATCCTGTGTGTTGGTAAGTTTCACAAGAATACTAACAACAGCCTAATAAAGGTACGATCAGTGAATTGTTTTGTCCTAAGATTTGCGATGTGAGTTCCCGGCAGCCTACACATAAGTGCCCGGCACATCAGTGCCTTCGTGAAACAAAGTTCACATTTGTTCATTAACCTTAAAAAAACATCGCCCATTTCGAGTCACAACAGCGGGTATGAGTAGCGGCGTCTTGATTAGTACAAAGGTGTAAGTTGAGATGGAGAATGGTACTTTGTTGAACCTGTTGAGATTAGGACCTAATCTCCAGTCGTGACGTCCAATCAATGCGTACTTTTAGCATCTGACATAGTCAAATGGGGAAAAAATGTTGATTTCCAAAAAAAAAACATGATTACTACAAGCAAAAATCAAAAGCTGTTTTCAAATCGGGGGCTTGTGGCTCCACACCAACCTCGAATACAATAATACCCATTAGACGATGAACAGCTCAATAACTGTAAGTGTGGAAACAAGGATAAATTCGTAGTTGTGAAACAAAAAGCGTTAAGAGGACACAGGTCCCAGAAAGAGACGCACTGTACAGATGACTGCCACAAGAATAGATGCTACCACACACACTTGATCGAATGTCTACAAGTGCTGGGAAAAGTGTGACATGGCTACACGGATATCAGATTTTACACAAACAGAAAAATAGCCTGGGAACACGTTTGCGAAAAGAGATTTACGAGCATTTAAGAAGCAAGCTCCTCAACGTGTATGCCTCGCATTCGAAAGGAAAGTGGAGCGTGGCACGGATCGGATAAGGAGCTGGAAGTTTAGGTAGCCCTGGTACCAAATTCAAAGGTAAAGTCTGGGCTAATGGAATTTCTTTTGATTTTTTTTTAATTTGCGGTATCAAAAAGAATGCTTGAAAATTGGCGGAATGTTCGAGTACCTAAGAGGTGAACACAGAAAGGAGTTATATTTCTCTGGATGACGCTAAAATCGCACGTAAAACCAGAACATCCCTAAAAATAATGACACATCTTGAAGCAAAGGTGGCCGGAAAAAACGGTGCACAACACATCTGTCGTTTTATTAGGAAAGTAAGTCCAGTAGTTTACATGACCCCATTGCAAAATTCACTCCAGACGGAGCTAGAATTAGCAAGACTAACGCCTGGTCCTGATGAGGGAAAAGAGGTTGCACCAATGCTGCGATTTCATGAGTGTCTTGTAACAAACTGATCCATTCAGCTTCACTGCCAATGACTTTCTGTGACGTCAGATCATGGAATGAGTCAAAGAAAAGCAGTCAACGACACTTGGACACTTCACGGGAACGCCACAATTTCCAACTCGGACAGGAGTATGAGTGAAGTCTACTTTAGATAATCACATGGTAAGGATGCATCCTGAGTTTGACACGACACAAGGCCTCTTCGCATCGCGTAAGCGTAGACATAGAATCCAACGGAATGAGGTTGTGGCCGAAGGCAGGATGATGGAGACTAGGTTCAACATTTTTAACTGGGATGTCACGATTGTTCTAACATCTCTTGCAGTACAAGGGATATAACTGAGAAGTCCAAAGCAACCAGTCATGAAATCGACCCATTTATTCGGGAGCATTTTGGAAGGGAATTCTCGACAAAACAATACTGACTCATCTCTATTTGGACCTACTTCTAAATTGTAATGCCCTTAATAACGCATTTTGGCAGACGGCTGCGCCAGAATTCCTGTCTTACATGAACCCCGTCATGTCTCGCGGTATTCGCCACATGCTGAATACGGTGATGTCATCCGTGATGTGGGTGTGGTGATTAGGAGGTGATTGGCTGCACGTACATAGGCGCATGCAAAGTGCTCCCCAGGCAATGCTTATAGTGCTACCTTACTTGGCTCCATTATCTTCCAATGTTCAGATTGTGAATGAGGACCAATAAACGGAGCTACCTGGCGCCAACGTAAGTCGGATGTTGGTAGGGGAATTCAGAAGTTGGTAAATAAACTTTACTAGGCGCGCTGCAGACGATTCGGTCATTGTATAATTTGACAGCAGTGAGTACGACATTACGTTCGAAGTAAAGGCAAAAAATTAATTGAGATGTCATGCCAAATGTGTGTGTGTGCTTAGGAACGCTCTCGGGTGAGCAGGAACGTGCAGGTTGATGGTTAGGCTTAACACACACGACGCGACGCCGGCTAGCGCACGCACTCTCAGTTTAACCATTTAACAAGGAACATTCACGAGTGTGATAGCAGGAATGCATTGTGCAATTTACAACGCGTCCCACAAGAAACGTCTGTGACAGAAGCGGAAAAGTCAACGATTTTTAATGAAAGTAGTTAAAGGGGATCCATAATTGGCACAACAGCAGCCGCCACTGGTCAACATGTTCGGTTAGATGGTAGCGTCACCTCGTCTGTTGCAACACAATTAAAGAAGTCTTCGAGATTGGAACGAAAGTGTTCACAGGTAAATCTTGCACTAGAGATGTGGTCAAACGATATCGCTCATTTTGACTGTCAATAACACCGCAGGACTTTAGCAGTAACTTCACGACAAAAACTAGGGAATCCGGAAACCCCAAATGTGTTACAGGACAGAATTCACTGGAAACGGAAGTAATAAATGTCATGGTTTGAACATCTAGCCCAAAATGACAACATGGCTGCTCTTGGTAATCAATCAGACGTATTAAATGAGGCCAACTTGAACCTACAAACAGTAGCCAGTTCCTTATTACTACGGTCGGCACCGCCAATGACAAGAAGGGTAGCCAGGTTGATGCCGAGGTAGTCACTTGAAGATTCCTGGAAGCCTATGCGGTAGCTTTCGATGGCCTTTTCGAGGGATTCCCTGTCGGTGTAGTTGGATTCCACAAATCTGTCCTTGTGAATTCGACCCTCGAGGCCGTAGAAGTCAGGCGACGGTTGCTTGCAAGTAGAAATTATCTAAGCAGGCCAAAGGAAAAGGAGTGCATTGTTAAAATAACTACAGAGTTGTTCGAAAATTTATGAGGTTCGTGTCATGTTCTCCATTCAAATGGAAACCTCCTATGATGATACCACTTTTCTTATCAACCACGTGTTAGAGAGCACTTCAAATTAGTAGCTAAAATCATTTACTGCTGCCAACTTACGTCTTTAATGATACTCAAGGCCTTTTCACGATCGCCTTTACCATTTCGACGGTTAAGAGCGAATGCGTAATAGTAACGGATAATTGGCGGTTCCAGGAGGTGTTGGTAGTTTTGAAGTCCTTGAATGGCTTCAACTAGGCTTATCATTTCCAAATATGCCTAAAATCCAAGAGCTATTTCATAGATACGCTTGAATTGGAAAATATTACCGAAAAGACTACAATATATCAACTGATTTAGGCAAAGCAAGCTAGAAGAATCTAGAAGTATAGGTGCATAAATTCACAAGCCTACTACCTGTCAGAAAGCGTCCGTTACACAAATCATTGATTGCTAGTGCCCAAAATCGCGTACACGTTACCTCGCTTTTGAAACGCAATGTCGTAAATCATTTAAAAATTAATCATCTGTGGTGTAGTGGTAAAATTGAATAAAAAGCCCTGGTCAAGAAAGCAATTTAAAGGTACCATTGAGTCGAGGTAAGTGGAAAATATTCGGTTTAAGCGTCTGGACAGCAGAGCAGCAAATTTAAAATAAACCATGATCTTTAAGGTTCAGCTTCTTTTGTTTTGTGTTTTAAACATACTCAACTCATTAACTAACACCTTACAAGTAAATATGCATGCACTTTGCTCTATGATATTTCGACCTATTAATCCCAGTGCAACTTCGGATAAAAAAATATAAAAGATAAGATAAATAGATAAATAAGTTTATTAACGGAGGCACGAAAATTAGATTTAGAACTACCAAGACCCCATTCATAGGAAAGGATAAAAAACAAAGTACCCACCTCAACATGCATGTACGACAAAAACATGTTAAGAAGGCTATCAGGAGATAGAAGTCGTGGATCATCAAGACGTCGTCGCATTTTCCGTAGTTTCTAGAAGAACGATCAAGATTAACCATGCATCAGCGACTTTGTGCATTAAAAATCATCGATGAATAATATGACGAAGTCGATGTACCGAAGTCACAATTTTAAGCACGATCATACATAGGGATGAAATTAATGCTTGCGATAGGAAATTCGTAAGTCCAAATTAATAAGACCTTGACTACTGTCCATGTTCTTGTACGATCACAGCAATAACTTACCTCTCGAAGTTCGTCATCCTTCAAAGTTTCACGATCTGAGCGAAGTTCCTTGACAAATTGATATGTCAGGTGCAACCTATAAGCACATTAATTGAATAAAAATGCATAGTTTGTTGGAACAAAAGCATAGTCTGCCGTTATATGTTTAAGTTTACAGTAATGGTAAGTTTAACATCACACTAAACTTGTGGTTGTATTTAAGGTAGTAAAACATTTAATAAACTGACTAAAGAGCAAACAGGCTATTTGGCTAACTTTGCAGCAGATAATTATTGCAAAAAATGTGATAAAATCCCCATCCAGGTGTGGTGTCAAAGAACTTACCTTGTTTCTTTTTGGGCATTCATAAAACATTCCTTCAAACGAGACGACAACGACGAGAGGCTTGCCATTATTTTCGATCTGACGCTCACTACTTCCCCATTTAGCAAGTGCATCCGATCGGCGTCCACAAAACGGGTGCTTCCTTCTTCGTCTTCAACATAAGGAACTAGAAGATTTGGTTCTTCAAATGTCTAACATGGCAAATTAGACGAAAAATGACTTACTGGCAAGCTGCGAACAAGATCAACATCATCGGCACAAACTAATACGATGTTAACGGTTGATTTTAAACTTTCTCTGACACCCAAATGATAAAGAACGACGGCGATTTCGTTCTAAAAACATTAGTACGTGTAATCCATTATACCCAACCACTGATATCAATAACAAGAATTTCAGCATTGTACAAAGCATCCAGAACTTCAGTGTTATTCTTACTAATTTGGTCAAACGTATACGGTTGGATTTTGGCTTTAATGCTATCAACATTTAAGAATAAAGAACACGATTACCAGTCGCATGCTGACTCTACAGCGGCCGTAGGTCCTCCTTTCCCATTGCTTGGAATATTATCCTTCCGAAGACACAAATTAATGTCAGTGATGTACACTACGCATAACTGCTCCGAGTTCATCTTGTTATTATGCGCGAAAACGTGGAAATGACAAAATTGCCACAAAGTCCCATCAGCTAATGACCAAACAACCCGCGGTTTTCCTGACCTTGTAGATGTCGCTAAACATCCGTCGTTCACCATAAGTAACCTTTTGCTAGTTTAAACCAACATTCTTTTGTGACTAATATTATCTCTTACATGTGTTTGCAAAATAACTAGAGCCTTGGTTCTCAATATACAACTATTTCTGTTTTACATCAAATTTAGTGATTTATTCAAAACATAGTTATTCAATTTACAATGGTTTGCTGACGTATTTTGAAAATTACGAAGATCTAAATTTGGGACATGAAGTAAAGCATTGCCTATCTCTTTTCAAAAATAATTTAGAATAGCCCTTTTTTATTAATAAAATGTGCAACATTTCCAAGTATGAGCCTTTCAAAACATGGTCGTTTCTTTCACACAGTGTGACAAGAGATATGGCCACAGAGTTTCATGCCTACTAATGACCTACTGTCACGTCAACTATAAATATTGTCCAGAAAACTTAAATCTAATATTTAACCTTAATTTATGCCAACATTATGATTTTCCCACCGCCATTAGTTCAACCGAGGCCTTCCACAAACACAAATTGCTACAAAATTTATTTAAATTTTTGTTTTCGAACGATATTTACCTGCTGTATGTGACTTTATTATCTCGCATCACATTATAATTCCGTTATGTAACTTTTTAAAGGTTCTATTCCTCTTCAACTATACCTTAATAAGGTCCGTCATAACCTAACTGTGCATTTGACATATCTTATGGTTTCATTTGAAATTAAATGTCGAGCAAATGTAGTTAGAAGGGAAACAACGTGGAATTCAAGTAAATAAACTAAATCACGGCATAAGGGTTTACTCAGTTTACTTTGGAAGTGGAAATTTTTTACAAAGTGGAAATGATGCGACATCAAATATACCCATTTATATTTGACCGGGCATGAATCATTGTGGGTATCGGTGACCCGTAAAATCAGTCTCCGTTATACATCGATCGATCGATATCGCATTCATTTCTTTTAAATGCTGAGGCAATCTCTCCTAAATACCTTTTGCAAAACAGAGTTTAACTTACAATAAAATACCCTTTAACCAAAGTCAGTACTACGGACTTGTCGTCTTATTTAGAACCAAACTTTGCACGCTGTCTGGTAATTGTTGGAGCATGAATATTTTGCCAAACTTGTGTTGGTAGCGATATTCATACATGACTTCAAAGCAGTACCTAGAATAGAAGCTCTGGAATTCAAAAACACTAGGAAACACAATTGTCTCGGTCGATTGTTTGATGATAGTATAAACTGCAATATAATGCATTTTGGGGGAAAATTTCACAGTTTTTAATTTTTTAAACCATTCGACTCATAAATGACTTTATTCATGTTACAAATCCAACTGCTTGTTTTGGACTGATATTTATATTTTATAAACTGAAATTAGTTTGCATTTCCCTCTCAACTGTCTCTGCAACTAAATTTCCTATAATCATTAGGACTGATTTACACAAATAAATATTAAATGAGATTTCCTGCTTTTGAGTTCTTATTGATTATATCTACTTTTATCAAAAATGTGGATGTGCATTTAATTGGCACCCCAGACGTCCTGTCCCCAGCATTCTAAATTTCTTTAAATTGCACCAAAATTATAGTGTTTGGGTGTTGAACCACCTATTGAAAAGATTGTCGTTGAGGCACTGTGAATCCCTGGGATCTGTAGGTTGGGTCGAAATCGAGAGCACAATGTCTACACCGAATTTAAAGTGGCGTTAATCTAGTTACCGATATATTACGCGTTCTAGCTAGTAGTCTACAGATCGAGTACAGGTTTATTACATCAGTATTCAAGTGAAATTTATTTGATTTCCTTTCCAAAATATACGATTAAGCGCAAACAGGTCTGAAAGTCTGCGTGATGCTTGCCCAAATGCAGCGACATAAAACCTGAGCCCAGATTGTTTATGATGCATGATTTTTAGAAGCACGTGCAAAGACTTCAGCGATAAACAATTCCATGTTGTTTATCTCAAAAACTGCAGTCATGTGCATGGACATGACACTAGATTGTCTCAGACTTTGCAGTTTGTTTCCTAGTGAAAACTTTCCTTATCATGTCATATGCCTTTCTGATGAGTTTTCAATAAGGATTTTCTATGGCTTACATTTCAGTTTGAGAATATCAGTCTAGTTGGTTAGACATATTTTGTCTGTTGAATTAATAATTGACAATTGTAAAACATTCTCAGTTACTAAAGTGAAAACAACTATAGATTAACTGAGTTTTTGCGTTACGAAATTAAGTCATTGATCAAGATTTTGTAATCGTCAATGTCTCGCTTATCGACCATTTATCATAGTGCAAATTTGAGACGCCTAACGTGTTCGTGTCAAGGGTTTTAATTCTACACTTACCTGATCAGAAAGGACAACTTATTAGCATCGGAAATGCCATAATTCGGATGATTTACATTAACTGGTTACTTCTAACGATTAGAGTCCAAATCACACAGAGTAATGATTTATGAGAGGGTTTTTATGAAATCTTGCTAAATACCGTACTAAGTCAGCTTGCTACTAGACTTGTTAGGGGACGGTTAACTGGTCTGCCTAGGTTCCATGAATCAGATATTTATAGAAATTCTCACAAGTCAAGAATGTTTTGAGCTCGGTTTTAAACTCTGCACCCAAGTGCCTTCACAGACCTTCCGCATTTTTTAAAATTAATGTTGAACTGATTTCCATGTGTATACTCAACGACGTCGCGTTGGGCAATGAAAATGCTAACCCAATATCTAACTATTTGAGTTGAAAAAACAGCCAAGAAAATTAATTTCTCTAGGTTGAAATTTACACCAGGCAAACTATTATTGTAGCCCAGGCAGTTTGCAGCCACCAATCCTGGTTATTCCACGTTTCGGAGCCAAACTGCTGCAGGCTTCAAACAGACGCCCACATTCCTTAAGTTCACTAGTTTAAGCCTGAAACTCCCCCGATTTCTGTTTCGTCTTCGTATTATAAAAGCAAGAGCCACTTTCACACCACGGTTGGTGGTGTGGTTGGATAAAAAATTGAATACAACTGTCAGCGAATCACAGCTAATGTGCATGAGGGACATGAAACGATTCCTAATAATGCATGGTTTCAAAAGTACTTTAATAAAGTGTACTATAAAACATGATTCAATTAGTTCACGTAAATGCACTTCACGATGTTTAATCGATCCCATATAAACTGACCTGTTACACTGTACACACACACACACGCGCACCACTACCGCATCAATAAATTAGTTGAGCTGCGCGCTATCTGCATTCCCTCTTTTTCTTCAGACGGACCGTGCCAGTACAGGTCATCGGCCCTGGTGTGGCTTTCAAAGCCTCTCCACTGGCCGCAGCCGATTCTTTTTTTAAACTTGACCAACCAGACTTCGATGGCTGTTGTAATTGGTTTGAGAAGACACATTGTCATGCAACAAACACGGGTTTTGACACCTCTATGGGTGTGCGTCGTTTGCAATCATGGAAACCAGGAGTAGGAGTTGGTGAAATATACCACCGCTGGTGCCTTCTATTCTCTGAATTCTGTGACCTTTGAAATGGTGGTTTAAAACGTTACTAGTGTTCTACCTTTGAAAAGTGACCTTTGTATCGACAGCTCCTTGTGGATTCTGGAAACGAAGAAGGAATTCGTAAAAGGGACGCAAGACAAACACATTCTACAATCAAAGCGCATACTTAGTCGCTAGATTTACATTAGAATCATGAGCACAAAGTGTATGGTCTACTAGATTTACAGTAAAGAGTCTAGGGACTGTGAATTTTCAGTTGTCGGATACAGGCACTACAGAAAAAAGTGGCAAGAATTCTTTTTACAAACGAGTTAGCCGAGGACCGACCGAGGGTTTGTTAACATTAAGTGCAACCTATTTTTAACTTCATGTTTTTAGTTTGCACTTTCACATTTCCAACTCGATCAAACAACGCATTTTGGAGGTCCCATTCCTTTCAAATCTCATGCATTCAAATTTACACAAATAGTGACTCATGAGACTTTTATTGCCTTTTTTTTATTTCTGCAGGAAACGGGGCTAGATACCAATTAAAATTTCACACATCCGCACACATGACGCCTAAACGCAAGTGTAATTTGCATGCACTCAGGCAATATTCCATCATTCGACTTGATCAGATCAAAAGTACTGGATTGATCGCATCGGGATCACCGGTTGTTGAAACCCCACATATTGAGACCCAGTTACACGACACGGATACCTAGGCAGGTGTCAGAAGAACGGTGGTGGAGGCAATCGTTCGCTAGTTGGTTCAGCTGAGTTGCGCAGTTGTCTCGTTAGTACGCACGATGGCCTGAGTCACAGACGCGCACAAGTTCATGCTCAGACGCGTTCACACAACAAAAGCGGACTAAACAGTCCGACGGACACTGCGAACGAGAAAGGCACGTCAAGGGCTGTCTGGACAAGATTTGAATGAGTCACCAGCACGTGTTTCTTTGTTATTTTAAAACAAACGCTTAGGCCCAGCCTTAAGTGCCGACGGATGCCATTTTTCGGGTCCCCTCGACTGCATTCCGGGTAGGGATTTTGAAAAAAACAGTCTAGACGCTTAGTTTCAGACAGGTAAGGGGATGCGTGTCTGGCAGCCACTAAACAACGTCACAAACTATGTTTAGAACAGTCTGAGTTATGCAGAGCAAATTAGTAGAAAAGGCCCGACTAACATCATGAATCACCTGGATTCAAATGCAGGCAATGACTCAGTAGATCTGGCTTTCGATTAGCCGAGTAAATCACAATCGTTTTACCCCTTTTGTGGTGTCAGAATGTTGCACAGAAGGTAGTTACGAAAGCTGGTGTCTTTGGTGCATGTCGACTCGCCTCTACTGACATTTCGGCAGTCACGTTGAGCATTTTTTGGTTAAAACATTAAAATGACTTGTTCCAGTTTCGATTGGACAACTATATGTCCATTTCATCAGTTGTGGTCATTTTAATACAAATGTACATCGGTTTGAAGGGTGGATGCAATCGAAAGCTTGTTTGGCGGTTCATACTTAGTGAA